GATCATAACCGGTATGGACCCCAGGAGTGGCTAGTTGGTTAATCTACAGGGCTGCTTGGGAGTGTGTAGAATTGCACCCAGCTCTAGGTTAATTTATGATAAAAAGAAGAACGAGGTCTACCTTGGAATTGGATGCTCTCGTCTTCGGGAATTTCCAGGACCAGCGTGTCCCGATATGTTTCTTCTCCGCCTTTTAGAAGCGCCCCTCAGCTCCTTAATCCATGCAGAACTCTATTGAGTCTGCCTTGTGCATATCTGAGCGCACGGCATTGGCGAAGCAAGTCAAACCCTTGATTCCAATGGCCAAGTGACACCCGAAGCAAGGTGAAGGGTGCTCACCGTCTTCTGCTCCTGCGTGGGGCACCGAAAAGTCGTTCAGGTCTCCCCTTTCCCCCTCCCTCCTGGGTCGCATCATGCATACCTCACTCCCGTTTGGCTTCATACTCCGAGTCAGGGCACCATTTGTCCTGGGCACTTCTGCCGTTCCTGCTCATTTTCATCTGCCATAATCCAGGTAGACAATAATGCTTGGCTTTTCATCGTTGTAGCATGCCATTCAGGGCGCTCCTATCGGACACCGTTGTAGGGACAAATTGACTTCTAGATTTGAGTCCGTCCCGTAGGTGAAGAAGATAGGGCAGAGAGCATCCCCCTTGCCAATAATCAGGTGAATTAAGCCGAATCACAGGATTAGAAGAGGATGGGCACCAACAGACCGAAAGAATGAAGCCGAGAGGCTGCGCGCGTGTGTGTTGACAGCAAGTATGTCTCGAGTGTGTACACAAGTAAACTTCCGTGCTACCGCCTGGTTGAGTCATCCATCTAATCGGCCCTTGGGAGGGATAATTGAATGCCTTACCATCTGCTGTGGCTGGTTTTCTGATTGTCGATTTCACTTGTGGTTTCAGTTTTGTCTTTCCGGAGTTCTACGAGTCGCTAGAAGCGTCCTATCGACTCACCGGGTGTGATAGGACAAGAGACGACTACCTATTTACCGTCGCCTCTCAGGCTCTCCTCCCCCTCAGGCGGAAACATATAATGAGTTTCCCCTCAATTTACACCATCATCATCACCACTCAGATTGATTGACCTCCTTCCTTTCCGCCACGGGAGTTATTACCCCTCGAAGTATTGGGCACCGATCATTTCACAATCTGCTCACCTCTTTTAAGTCCTTTTCCGAGGAAAAACCGTTCCCAATCGGACCCGTACGCCATTGAATACTACTACTTGTAATCCACCGCCAACGGAGAGCGGTTGACGTTGGGTGTGTGTGTTTGAGCGCCTTTCCTTAATTATTCTCCAGTCCACCCATCCATGTGGCACTGAGGACGACCGGAGCTGATTGCGGGCCCCCAATAGATCGAAAAACCGACGGTACCCAGTCAGTTCCTTCAGTCTTCCAAGACTGCACCACAGCTGGTTGTAAGTGGGTTCTCATTTCTTCTTTATTTTGCGAATCTCGTTTTAGCCCGTCTTGGTTCAGCTCCAGTTTGCGGCTCCACTTTCTGCCCTTTTTGTTTTCTGGTCTGTCACCAGAAGTCAGAGGCCGAAACTGAGATATTGAAGAAACCAAAGAGGAAAAAGAAAAATAATGAAATGTGAGAAGGAAAAAAAAATAAAAAAATAAAAAAAAAAGGGAAAATCAAATAAAAAGAGAATAAAAAAATATTGAAGGGGAATTCTCACTACGTACTGTTTTCCCTTTTTGTCTTTTGCTTGTCCTTCCGATTTTCGCTTCCCTCAATTTCTATTTTACTCTTTTTAGCAGGAGTAAAAAAGAAAAAGAAGGAAAAAGAAAAAGCAGGACTGCCCAGACGAATTAGAAAGGCGATCTGTCAATTCAGGTGGCTTGTGTTAATTCATGCAAACCAGGATCCTGGTTCAGGGTTACAAGACCCAGTCCCCTCAGAAGGCGTGCACCAAAAGAAAGATTAAAAAAAAAGAAAATAAAGGAAACCCAGAGGAAAGCAAAGGCGAAACATCAGAAGAGAGGAGGAAATCAAGGCAACGAAAAAAGGGAAGAAAAGCAGTTCATCTCAACAGCCCACTGGAGACATCTGCGATTGAAAGGTGCGCAACTCAACTATTATCAGCATCGTTTCCCATCATCTGTAAGGAATTGCAGAAGCAGCAAATCGCCCATATTTCCTAGCTGCCACTACTCTTTGCGCGCTCCGGGTCTTCTATGGGCCCAATAACCCCCCTCCCTCCACCAGAAAGAAGGGAACAGAGAGGGGCAAGCAGACCTCTTCATCTGCCACACTCTTCAAGGCCTATCAGCCTCCGCTGGATCGCTCGTTTGCTTGATAGTTCACTTCCCTTGTCATTTGCGTTTCCATTAACTATTAGTTATTTTATCCTCCCTTCTCTCCTCCTCTTTCTTGCTCATACCCCCTAACTAACCTTCTCATCGTTGGTGTTCCCGCAAGATTCGACTTCCGCCTTTTACCCATCAGATCCATCCATCAATCCACTCCTGCCGACCTACCACTTACTACTCCCGGACTGACTCTGAGCAACTTAACTTTTCGCTCCTCCAAGACTGACCGGACGGGAAGTCTTGTTTGGTCAACCTGCTATTTCGAGTTTAATCCCGTTCGAGGATCCATCGACTTTCCTTCCAGACGTCCGGCCGTCTTTTAGGAACCCCTCCGAATCCCTCGACCCTTTTTTTTTTTTTTTTTTTTCCCTCTGTCTTTTCTTTTTTTCTTCTTATTAAGGAAAAAGACACCCGCCAACAAAGCTCTACTACGACGCTTCCCACCGTTCGATCGACCTGTTTTTGCACCGGGCGACCCGACAGCTTGGCTTAGCTACCTTAGCTAAGGAATACTACCTACTATCTATCTACTCCTACCATCACCGCACCCGACCTATACTACTATTATTACTACTACTTGCTTCCTTCCACTCGATCGGAAAGCGCCAGAACCAGTGCTAAAACCCGCCCGGCGGTATTATTGTTATTATTATTATCACTACTTTTCCATCTCACTACTAACTACCAACTAGTTATTCGTTCCATTTATCTTTGGGGCGATTCGAAACACTTGTGTCTAAGTACGTATACATACCACCCTCTTTTCTTTCTTTTCTTTTTTTCTTACCTACTCTGTGCCATCGATCCTTTTCTTTGGCTTTGATTTATTTGCTTTTTAGTTTTCTTACAGTGCCCATTTTCATTTACATTTACATTGTTTTTATTATTATTATTATTTTTTCTTTCCTGTTCCCACCCTCTGTCATCTGCCTCGGGCTCGTTTTTCAAATTCCTGTTATTTTGGTATCGGTATGATTTGATTCCTGGCTGTCACCCCCGATGACCCCGTTGACTTGCGTGGCGAGGTCATCTCGGGTTTCCAGGAAATTCCCTATGGTATTTGACTACTACTGGTACTAGTAGTTAGGCCGGTACCTGCTGAATGACCGCTCCTTCAGTGGGAGTAGGGTACCTACACTAAGGTGGCTACTTTCCATCTCTACCTACTGAAGTTGACTGGTGATACTACTACCTAGTTTGCCCAACTGCCGGCCAGGGTCGGTGTGTCCATCGCAGACATTGATTGATTACCTTTAGTCGCGGCGCGGATCGCTTCTTGTCCTCCACCTCCACCCCCCTCTCACTCTCACTCTCTTTCTCCCCTGTCAAGCTATACTTCCTGTCTGCTACTACTTTTACTATCTCTTAGCCCTCGCACGCTATTGCATCTGCTTTTGTCTGATGATCATCCTTTTTTAACTTATATTTTCCCATCTTATTATTGTTCTCATTACGAAACAGCGCCGTTGCCTTTCTCCAGTTATTTCGCACCTTTCCCCACCCTCACAGCTATTTTCATGCTACTACTATTCATGACTTTCTACTAGTACTCACTACTTTTGTTATTAACCGCTGTCACTCCTGTTCCGCTCCGCTTTCCCTCCCACCCCCCTCCTCCCTCCCTCCCCTGTTTGCTCCCCAACCGGGTTATTGTTTGCCTTGGTTCGCTGATCGTTTGACCGTTGTTCTTCCCAACCGCTGCTACTTAATCCATGCTAAGCTAACTATTGAAAAAAAGAAGCTACCGGCTGCTTGCGTCAGGCTCTCTCGCTGATTGATTTTCTACCCCTCCTCGCGCGTCCATTGAATCTTGAATTGCGCCTGCCTTCTATGCTCCCTGGGTTGCGCTCAACACAGTAACCAGAATATTGCGGACTCTGAAACAAAGAACCACGGATCGAATAGCACCGACATTAGCATTCGTACCATTCTGCCCATTCCCCGAATCGGAAACTTTCTGCGTTTGCACGTTCCACCCAATACTCTCCGGTCGCACAACTGAGTTTTTGATGCTTGTCTGGGACATCATGTCCTCCTGACTGTATGACTATCCCACTGAGTCGACTATCCACCGTGGATCCGCGGCAACCAGGAATTAGTGGCCATAATCGGGGCCTCTTGAACGCCGACGTCGTCCCGATCAACGACAAGCAGAAAGTCTTTCTTGCCGGTTCTGGCCCTCCGTCGCCAATGCATCGCGTACAACCTCTGGACGGATCGCATGGTCCGCCCAGTGCTCCAGCAGTCTACGAGCAGCCATGGCGCCCTCCGTACTCGTCTTCTTATGACGGACATCCCGCGGACCAGCGTCGCACATCGAATGCTCCTCAGCCTGCGCTCCCACCCCACGGATACCCGATGAACCCAAACCGTGAGCTGCCGCAGCTCCCACCAGAAGTCCCATATGGCCGACAGGGCAGTTTGCCTGGCCCCGTGCATACCCCTCCAGAAGCCCCCACTCCTCATCCCAGCTTTCGTCCTATGAATGGAACTCCCCATGAGGCCGCCCCTCATTCAGCACCCCCCGACTATCGCTCACGGATGTCTTTTACACCTCAGGAGCCTCACAGCAATGGGGACGCTCCGCTCCCCGCCCACACGTTACCCCCGACTCAGTATCCCACTCCGGTTCCGCATTTGTCGCATACTCCTACGCCGTACGATTCAGGTCTTTACGGAAACCAGGCGTACGGGATACGCCAGCAGCGAAAGGCCGCTCGGGCGCAACAGGTGAATTGTCTCCTTGCAGCGAAGTTAGCTGAGATATTGATCGGGAAACCCTGACTAACTCGTGAGCTTTTGCTGTCTTTGAAGGCCTGCGATCAGTGCCGAACGAGAAAGGCCAAGTGCGATGAAGGCCGGCCTGCTTGTAGCCATTGCAAGGAGAACAACTTGATATGTGTTTATAAAGAAGTTCCCCCTCACAAGTCCGTGGCCCGGCAATTGCCACTCTAATAGTTCGATGGACATGTGCTGACGACGTATCCAGGCAAGAAAAGGCAACACAGCTTCTTCTGGACCGTATCTCTCAGTTGGAAGACGGTCTCATCGAAAAAATCGATCGCATTAATGCACTCCAGGTCGAGCACACGAATCAACTCACTCAGCTGTATCCTCGGTTGAAAGAGGCTAAAGCGATAAGCACCAAGGAGACGACAGAGAAGCAAGCCATTCCTCGGATATCGAAAGCGGACATACCTGATATCTTACAAAAAACGGAAACCAAAGAAGAAGACATGAACGCGATCGTCGGACAGGAGCTTGAAAGAGCCGAAGGGGAAGTGATTCCACAGGGTGAAGACGGTGATCTTTCAATTCCCGTTGAGCATACCACTGCAGCCCACAAGTTGCTTTCGTGGCCGTCTATCAAGGCTCTTCTCGAACCGAGAGAGTACGATGAAGATTATGTTATGAAGCTGGAAGAGGAGCGAGGATTGATTCTCGTTTACAGCCGCGGTGAAGGACACGATACTAGTGAAAGCCCAGCAATGACATTCTCATCATCATCGTCCCGGTCCAACTGGGATCAAAGTTACAGCAATGGTGCTCCTGCTAGCGGCCAGTGGAACCCAGGCGCTGTCCAAAATGGCACTCATCTCAAACCACTCGGACCCAGTATTGATGATTTCGGGATATTCAGCACTGATGCCAAAACCGTTCGTCGTTATCATCAAAGCTACCTGAACCACATGCATAAGCTTCATCCATTTATCAACCTGACCGAATTGAGCGCAAGCATCGAATCATTCATTCAGAAATACTGCTCACCTGACGTTTCTGTTCCGGTAAACATCCTGAACAGCCATACGCCCGGCGACATTCCACGCGGTGCGAAAAGGAAGCGTTCTTGCGATACGCTACATGGTGGCGGATGCGACATCCAGTTTTCTCCTGGTGCCAAACACGAAGGCTCTAGCGGACGTCGCGTGGAGAAGTCACTGGAAAATGCTATTGTTCTCTTGGTTCTTGCACTTGGCAGTATTTGTGAAGTTCCGGGAGCCATCCCTGGTCCAGTTACTGACACGCCCGTGGACTTTCAAAAGGAGCGGATTCCTGGACCCTCTACACGCAGCATGCTATCATCGGCAGATACAGAACTAGTTATGCAGTCCCAGGGAAGTTTCTTCTCGCAGACAAGTAACCATTCATTTTCATCTGCTACCGGGGGGCAGAAGGCTGCTTCCGATCGGTCGCCATACCCGGATAATAGTCACTTAAGGAACGTGGATGTCATTCCTGGCTTGGCATATTATGCGTACGCCGCACAGATCTTGGGGAGTTTGCAAGGCGCGAACGGGCTGTACCATGTTCAAGCAGCCTTACTAGCAGGACTTTATGCGGGACAATTAGCACATCCTTTCCAGAGCCATGGATGGATCTACCAGGCGGCCAGAGCATGCCAAGTGCTTGTCCGATCGTATGTATTTTCCTATTTTACTCTTCTTTCTCTTTTTCACCCTGAACACCAGGAGTTTGCAAGAAAAATCCCGTGCTAACCAGTCTCAGGAAACGGTATGAACAAATGAATGACGGCCCGCTGAAAGACCTATATAACTTTGCGTACTGGACCTGCCTGCAGCTCGAGAGGTAAGCACGTTGCTCTCATTATGCGATCCATGAGTACTAATAAGTCATTCATATAGCGACATCCTTGCCGAACTAGATCTTCCGGCTAGTGGTATATCTCGCGCGGAAGCACGGATTGAGTTGCCAAAGGGCCGAACTCTCTCTCTACCTAACGACCCTGCTGCTCCGAACACCATGATGATGTTTTTCTACTCTGCCCAGATCCATTTGAGAAAGGTTCTGAACCGTGTTCACACCGATCTATACAAAGTCGAAAGTAAGTTGATCTTAGGCAGGCAGGAGCCCTTGGCTGTACTAACGCTTCTCTGCAGAACAGAATGAGAACAGGTGGTCTGCTAACGTACAGGAGATTCTGAGCATGAACCTTGAACTGTGGAGAAGCAGCTTACCTGACATAATGAGATGGAAGGACACGGACCCTCCACATGAGGATATTAATGTGGCTCGGATGCGAGCTAAGTACTACGGTGCACGATACATTATCCATCGTCCACTCCTTTACTGGGCTCTGCATCATTCACATCCCACCGAAAACGGTCGATCGGCATCAGTGGATTCCCCTACAGGATCGGCGATGTCGGGAGCCAAGTCGCAGCAGGTTTCGCCCTCAATGGCGCACAGCCAACGTGCTATCAATATGGCACGATTGTCTAGTGATGTTGGCCCTATGGGTCGATCGGCACCGACGCCAACCCCCGCTCCGACAGGATCGCGACCAGCACTCGCATATCGCGACCTCAATCCGAAGTTACGAAGAGCGTGCAAAGTATGCATAGACTCCGCCATATTGAGTACCGAGGCCTTTGATGGCATCACAGGCCGGCCGGTAGTAACTAATATCTTCGGCACAGCTCATGCGTAAGTGGAGCCCAAAAGGGAGTGTGAAGCCGGATAGTGGACGTCGCTGACCTTGCTGATGCTGTGCTAGTCAATTCGGTAACATGCTGGTATTGTCGGCCACGTATATGTCAAGTCTCTCAGAGCTGGTTGATCGGAACGACCTCGATCGGTTATTTAAGCGAACCATACGCTTTCTCCTCCAAAGCCGCGAGATATCGCCAACCCTACGAGCCGATGCAAAGATTCTCAGCGAGATATACGAGAAGATCTTTGGGGAGCCAGCTGATATCGTGGCTCCGTTATAATACTGACAGCAGGGGCTCAAAATTTTCGCGTTGCCTCAGGGCCATCGAGGCGTAGAGATGGCCCCATGCACCTGATTTTGCTTTTTTGCCTTTTTTTTTTCTTTCTTTTTCTTTTTTCTTTGTTTCTTCACATGAACTTGCGGATCAATACACTTAGCGGGAAAGGAATGTTCCTTGCATCTTTCTCCATAGGATACTAGACCACATCTCCCCGATTGGCATTGTGATACAGCATGTTATATACGGGGAGAGCTGCATGGTGGCTGGCTGGCTCGGTTTCCCCTCGTTGATAATTGGTGATTTCTCGCAGCGTCTGTGATATGCATCTTTGTTCTTTGTCCCATGCATGTGAAAGGGAGAGGCGGCTATCTGAGATTAACATTACCGTCATAGTTCTGGCAATTTTCTGCCATTGATATTTTTGGGATTGGATTGTTGTGGGATCAAATTTTGCTTTTTTTTTTTTTTTATGGAGTTTCTAGTGGCGTCGACTTGCATCCTGCTGTTCGCAGACAGGAAACGGATTGGGAGGGATGTCTGATTGCATTTCAGCGGATCAAGGATTCACCCCGCGTACAGTACACTCGAGGATTCCAATTACGGCCGTACAGTGCATGACTATCTATTTGTTTTTTCTGATAGAAGTTTTACCTCCTTTCTTTTCTGTCCCTCAGTTCCCCCATGAGGGAACCGGGCCGATGTGGGCGTGGAATCGCGTTGGAGACAGAGGATATTTTGAAGACAGGATGATCAGTCAGACTAGGTACCACTGTGACCGATGTAGAGTTTAGTGGCAGATGCTCATTGCACCAAGCAAACGGGCATGGCTTGTTGTCGAGGCCATGAGTGGTGCTCGGCCAGAGCATCCAAATGCGCTGGCATCCCGATTGGGAAATGTTTGATTCGCCCAGATCATCTCGGCTGCTAACGTGAATAGCTCATATGCACCGTGGGCTCCTTTTCGGTCTCTGGCATGGCATGCAGATAATCAATCGCCCGGCCAGTTGTCAGTTTTTGTACACACACCCCATAGTGGGCTCAGCTAATGCTGCATGTCACTCACTCATTGGAAGGGGTGGGTGAGCGGGCCATCCTCGGGTGTTCCTTTAAGATGCGTGACCATCCCGAGCATGCAGTACCCAAAAGGTGAAAACTAGAATTCAGCTGACAACTTCCCTTTGCCAGTAGATACTGAATTGGTGTTGCTTGAGGTGTCTCGGGGTCTGTTGTTGAGGTGGTCGAGTCGCAGCTTACTTAGTAGCACTGAATCCACCTTGCCGATGAGCTAGCTAGCTACCTTCTAGTATCTACTGTGTCTAAATGATCGCTAGACGCGCCCTTCCTCAAGCATAAGTTGCACGCAGGGGGATATGGAGGGAGTGGATGTACTTTGTAATCGATAAGTGGGTGTTTACATGTCTTCCTGACGAGTATTCTTTATTTTATGAGACGTGGTCAATATTGGCGTAGTCATGTTGTTCATTGTTTCAGTCGAAGGAGTGTCTGCACGGCTGAGATTAGAGAGGTATGTCGTGCATGCAGATGTTGGATGTATGTAGTTAAGTAAAGTTCCTGCTGCTAGATAAACTAATTTGTATTAATCGGGATTTCGCATAGGAGGTTAATTTTTCTTGTTCGGTAAGCGTATCTTTATTTCCTTGAATAGGTTGTGAACAGGTTGTATGCATGAAGGATGTGCTTTGAAGTGTTAAAAGCGTAGTAGTTACATGTTTGGAAGTTACTAAGTAAGTACTAGACTTGGGTACGTAGAGGAAGTCAGCTCAGCTCTGAATGGGACGATATATGACGTATCAGCTAATGAAGGAGCTTAAGTGGCAGCAGTCACTGAAGTGGTTGCCAATCGGGCGATTTGGGGAAGGAAACTACTTACTTAGTTAGTACTTAGTTGAGACTAGGAGGATCCCAGTAAAAGAAAGTAAGTCATGAAAGGTCAGGAATGAATGAATGAATCGTGGTCCAGCCAGCCTCTTCGATGGGCCCCGGCACGTGCCCGGGACTCCCCGGCCACCTCCCCAGCCTCACCGCGAGTTTTGTTCATTTCCTTCCGATTCCCTCGCATTTCGCTGGTTCCCTCGCAGGAAATGGAAGGATTGAGAGAAGGGCTTGAGTGTGCCATGACCTCAGACTAACTTCTTGTACTGTAAGTGCATTCTCACCATCTCCATCTCCATCTTTCCCCTTCAGATCCGATGAATGCTGCCATCACCACCCGCCCGCATCTGATCGATCGCAAAACATACCCCACATTCCTTGTTGTTTAGCACGTCAGAGATTCGCAAGTCTAGAAAAGATTCCTATCATCATCATCTTATCATCTCATGCATTTTATATCATCCTTCTTTGGGTTACATTTTTTTCATGGTCTCATACTTACTACTCTGTAACTAACTACCTTTTGGATGATGAGATTATTAACCCAGCCCGAAACTAGTTACTTACTCACGGACTCCCTCGCTCGTTGCTCATCCACCGTGCCCCATCCTGGCCCATCACGCTAAAGCTGTTAGTGGCTGATTGTCTGGAGCAACCGAGCGCTTGCCAGCCCGCCTCTTTTTCTTCTGTTGCTTTTGTGCTGAAAGGCTGACCGTGGTTCTCTGGCTTTTGGTCTCCGCTCCAGCTTGGGGGACCCTCCGACTTCCCGAGAAAAAAAGAACCACGGTTCACTTGTTTACTTTCCTCCCGCCCGTCGCAAAAACAATCGCCGCCGATCTATACCCGCCCGCCTCTTTCTTTCTCATCTTCAATTCATCACCTCTTTCCCTTCCACTCCCATCTTCACCTCGCTCATACGGTCTCTCCTTTCTCCATCTAACGACCCCGTTACGATTGTTACGATTTCTTTTATTCATCTTTAATTCTTTTACCCTCCTTTCCCTTTCAATCCACTCCTGCTTGGTTCGATTGCTCAATTAGGCGACCGCGTCTACCCTCTATTCCACATGGTTGCCTGAGTCGCTAGAGCTTTGATCGCTCTCTGCCCACCATGTTCAAAGCCCTTTTGGGCGGGGGTCGCTCGTCCTCGGATGTCCGCAGCTCCTCGAGCTCCAAGAGTAGCAGCCGCCGCAGAACCGACTCGAAATCTTCGACGGTAAGCCGCAAGTCCTCACGGGGTGACGACCGTGATCGTGGCTTGGGTGATCTGTCCAACTACCGATCCTCCAGCAGCCGGAATAAGCGCTATGCTCCAAGTGTGGCAGGCGACTCGGTAGCCTCGAGCTATGCGACAGCAGACCAGGGCACCCCCATCGAATCCGATCGGGTGGTGGTCGAACGCGCGCCCCGGCGTCAAGACTCAAACGACACCACCGACCGTCGCGATCGATACCGAGACAATGGAGACGGAGAAGGGAAAAGCTCCCACAGGCGCGAACGAGCCCGGTCGCCGAGTCGTGAGCGTGAGCGTGATGGCGATCGGCGGGAACGACAACGTACTCAGTCAGGCGATCTGTATGCATCCCCAGTAATTCCGGGCATGCCTCCTTCCCCTGGCGATTTCGCCACCGCGAGCCCTCATACGTACCCTCCAGTTACTGAGGCAATGCCAACCACTTCAATGCCCAGTCCGCCGCATGCAACCGCATTCTACGACCCTCATGTAACACAGCAGTTTCCTGGCCAGTTCCCGACATACGTTGCTGAGCCTTACCTACCGCCAAACCCTGCAGGAGAAGCAGCTGATTATTACGGTGATCAGGGACAGTCTGTCCAAGACCAGCCCGGGGTTCGACCTAAACCTCCGTTGGTTGCCGCCAGCGACCAAGCGCATCTCATGACAGCATCGCCTACCGCAAACCCACCGCCAGAGCCAAGTAGCATGGGCCAGGTCGGCGCTGCTGCGGCCTACTTTATGGATGACGCTGAGTTGGGAATGGAACAGCCCGAAGCAACACCATCTGCCTCTGCCCCGAAACCACCAAAATTGTCAAGACCGCCAAGGCCCTCGGTACAGACGGCTGGAATCTCTAGCCCACCTGCCGTTACCACTGCAACGACGATGTCAGGAGCTGAGGTTATGGATCCCCCAGGGCACACTATCTCGGAATCCCCTGCAACCTACATGCCACCTACCACATCCAGCCCTCCAAAGCCTCCTCATTCCCATGGAGGGGGTGTTGCAGTTGGCGCCGCCGCCGCCGGTGCAGCAGCCGGTTATATGATGAGCCAACATCATCAGTCCTCCGCAAGCGTTGAGCATTCTTCCCAGTACAATATGCAAAACTACGAGGATGTACTCCCGGCCTACCCAGAAACCCCGTCATTTCCCCCTCCGCAGAACATGTCACCCTTTGCTGCAGGACCTGCGGCAGCGGCGGCGGCGGCGGCGGCGGCGGCGGCGGCGGGGTATGCGGCAAGTCCGCTACACCCAGATCATGCTGCAGTATACCACGGTGCTCCTTTCCAATCCGGAGGTTTGGCTTTTCAACAACGTCAACAAGGCCCCTTGGACAAATTCATCAATTTCTGGAAGGACCCAGAAGGCGTCGGCATGTTCGAGGATTACACGGAATCTATCGGGGTTTGCAAATATTGCTTTGAGCCCGGCACGACATCTCAAGACGCACCTCGCAGGCATAACCATAAGCCTCGCCGTCGCTCTGCTGATCGGTACAGTAATGGATCGCGTGTTGATAAGGCAAGCCGCTACTCGTCGTCGGAGGACGAAGGGAGGCGTCGCAAAAGGTCGTCGAGAAACTCATGGTTGCCCGGGCTGCTTGGTGGATATGCGGTTAAATCCATCTTCAGTAGTAAGGAGTTCGACGAGTCTTATAGCATTCGAACGGGTGAGGTGGCGAGCTCTCGGCATTCGATTCACGAAAGTGAAGGCGCTTCCACAGCTGGTCGACGAAGCCAGACCTCTCGCGGTGTTTACAGACGGTCCCATCGAAGCCGATCGCGGGAACATACCGATCACAGCTCCTATCATTCGGACTCAAAACTCAGCAGATATGAAGGATCTCGACTACGTTCTCGGTCTCGCTCCCGTTCTTCATCTAGAAGTCAGCGACAGGCTGCCCTGAGGAATGCGGCCCTGGGTGTGGCAGTTGGAACAGCGGCCGTGTCAGAATACGAATCCCGCCACAGAAGCAGGAGCCGCAGTGCATCTTCGAGGGGAAGGAAGCCCAGAAAGGCATCTTCTTCTGATGAATCTTTCGTGGATATTTCGAGGCCCGCCCGAAAGACTGTGGGTAGTGGCTTCAGTTCGTTCTTCACTGCATCATCCGAGAACCGCCGCAAGCGCCGGACCAAGAGGCGCAAGAGCATCTTCTCGTTCAGCAATAATAATTCTTCTTCATCATCACTCGATGCGGATCTGGCGTTTGGGTCTGCATATGCGAAGCGCCAGTCAGGTAAGTCCAACAGGCGAAGCAAGAAGAAAACGGATACAGATATGGATGCTGCCTTACTGGGTCTAGGCGCAGCCGCCACAGCACTGGCCGCCTCATCTCATCGAGGACATCGGCGCACTGGGGAGATCCTTGTCGCCAAGGAGTCTCGATCCGGTCGGTCTGATTATGAGTCATCTGCTGCTAATGATGAAGGCTGGGAAGATCTTGACTCAGGTGACCAGTCCTCGTCAAGTGTCACCTCCGGCCTTGCGTTCGGCGAAAGTGGTCATTTCCCCAGCACTGACTCTCACTCGTCTGATTCCGGAACATCGAGATGGCCTTGGAATTGGGGAAGCAAGAAGATTAAGAAGAAGCAGAAGAAGAGAAGGTCTCGCTCCTCGGAGAACCGCTTCCCCGCAGAAGCTGCGGTCGCAGCTGGTCTCGGTACGGCCGCCTTAGCATCTGCATACCACCGGGACTCCAAGGTGTCCAGTCACGATGCTGCAAGTAGTACTGGAAGCCTTCAACATGTGGCTCCTATTCCCACCAGTGACCCTTCGCGTTTCGACGCCATGAAGGTGTCATCTCAACCTCCTTCCCAGCCGACATTGGTCCGACCAGGGCCCATTCCCCTGCAGCAGCCACAGCCAGTGACACCGGTCTCGCAGGCGGTATACACTTCTCAAGGCGAATCCATCCCCTCCTATAGCGTACCTGATATACACCCTACTCCTGCAAGCGCTTTCATGCCTTACGAAACCCCATCGAGAAGCGACAGGTGGAACCAGAGGACCGCAGACTATGCTGAACGAAGTGATATCTCTTCAAGAATCAGTCGGGCACACCGGCGTAGTGACTCCTCTCCGGTCTTTCACGCAGAGCCGCTTGAGAGAACGTCCACGTCAAGCTTTAGACGTCGCTCGACATTGAAAGACCAGGCCTCGGTACAGTTTGACTTGACTGAGGAGCAGGCTAACAAGGAGCGACGTGCAAATCGCCTCGAGAGTCTGAAACGCGAGGGCGATGCCGGTGAAGGAGTGCGACTCGTTGATAGAGAGCAAGAAATGGCGCTTCGGGATGCTGAGCGTCGAGCGAGCCAGCAGAGAGAACGTGAATATGAAAAGTCAAGAACCGAGGAAGAAAGTTCACGAAGCGAGAAAGATTCCTCGTCATTGATAGGTGCTGCTGCTGTAGGAGCGATAGGTGGTGTTGCTTTTGGCACGATGCGTTCAAGAAGTTCGAACGATGATTCCTCCGAGACCGCGAGCCAACGTCGGCACGAGGAGCGTCGTGAAAAGCGTCGAGCAGAGAGGCGCCGCGTTTCCGATTCAGAGTCTATTGCATCAAGTCTGCCAATGTCGGAAAGTGGAAGAACCGTGACAGATGTGCCTTCGCAGATGGACCGCCTGCCAGAGGATGTGAGGCCCCGGCAATCCCGCCCACTTCCTCGCACAAAGCCCGTTTACGAGGACTATGCTCAATTCTTCGCCCCTGAAGAGCTACGCTACAGTCCTGATACCTACACACGCCGAGAGCCCACCTCGATGCCAACCATTATCGAAGTAGAGCCTGCCAACGAATCTGCTGTTGTAACAGAGGAACCACACCCTGATTACAATGGCTTGCCGTGGCCTGTACCCGGACTAACGCTTACTGAGCCAACACCCCCCCATAGCCAGGTTGGCTCCGCCAGGGCGACGCCAATCATATTGATCCCTGGACGGCACGAAGAGGAGAACAGTTTTGAACGGCAAACAACCGGCTCACGAGTATCATGGGGCAAGCATGAGACGCATGAGTACGAAGTGCCCTCGACATCTTCCGAGCATGAATCTATCGACCAGGAGACTAGAGTTCTCGAGCACATTGAAGAGGTTGAGCCTATTACCGCAGACACTGCACGGGAGATGCCGCCAAGCTCCTCTACCCAATCTGCAACTAAGGAGGCCCCAAGCATGGTGGGAGCAGATATCGAGTTCGCGGCTGCACTTGCTGCTGCAACTGCAGCTGCAGGCTTTGACCCTTCGCTTGTAACGGATGATCCCACCTTCCATACCAGGCGCTCTCCTCCTACCTCGGAGCCGAAGGTGCAGTTTGTGTCACCCTGGGAAGAAGCGCCCGTGCCACGGTCCGTGCCTCATGGATTTGTGGAAGGCGAAGTCGAGACGCCAGACGATGACGAGAACATCCAGATGGCACCAGAGTACCGCATCGAGGATGGTCCCCTCTTTTCAGAGCCTAGACCTCGTACTGGTGAAGAGCTTGCTAATGAGCCCCGGCAATCTATTGCGCAAGAAGTTATCGAGCACCTCAGCCGCAGGAAAGAGCGTAATGCTAGCGACAGCCCTGCTAATCAGCCAAACCTGGAGCCCGCCAGCAAGGGCGTTTCTGAGATTCCCGTGGAGGTCCTTTCTATGCCCGGTGGTTTCGAGCCAGAAGAGTCAATGGAGAAGCAGGGGAAAACGAGCGATTCGACCTCCACGCAAGAGCGCGATTCTCCTTACTTCGTGTCAGGGCCTGGAACCAAGGAGGATGGCCCTTCGCCATTGCGAGACACTCCAGAGCAGAGCAGCGGTGACATCGAGCCAAACGACGATGACTTTGATCCAATCACAGTCGGGGCTGATGGAGGTGAAGGGAAGAAGAAGCGACGGAAGAGGCGTTCCAAGCGCAGTAGTAGCGACAACTATGAAGACGCAGTTTCCATCACCTCTTCGCCCGCCAGGCTGGAAGAAAAGACGAAGGAGACAAAGCCCGGCGGTTTCTTGAGCAATCTTTTTGGGTCAAGAGTTTCAGCACCGGTAGAAGACAAAGAGACATCCTTTGCTGATAAACATGCCTCTCGTGAAGTCCAATCGGAGATCGGGTCTGGACGTAGAGAGAAATCATCGCGGCATCGCAGCTCCAGTCGAGGAGACGGGCTGGATGGCGAGTCTCGCAAGCAGGATGACGCGGAGAACATTAACGTTGAACATTATAAGTCTAGCAGGCAACGAAGGGAAGAGAGACGTCGACAAAGATACGAAGACATGATGGAATCTGGTAAATCGTCGGAGTTTGAGAAGGTATAGTGCTTGGTTGTTTTTCCCATTACCTGTAAATTTTGGCTTTGCCTTGGCTATTCCCATATCCGTTTGACAGTTCACGTACAGCGCATATACTAAGATTATCTCTCTTCTTCTTCCATGTATAGGATCGGGAACAATTTCAGGACGACGAGCAACAGTCTTTTTTAGAGGAGGGCCCCGGAATGCCAGTCAAGGTAGACGAGGGTGATGATCATCGTGGTGCTTCGGGGCGGCTGGATCCTGATATCACAGGGTTGGGACTCGATGTCCTTGACTCCCGGCCACGGAGTCGCTCTGCATCGCCGCCTGCCTCGGAGAAGACCGCCAACCCCGCGCCCACGTCGCAAAGTAGACCAACTTCCCCTGAATTGGCCCGGTCCCAGGAAGAGAACCAAGGCCAACGATCTCGGCGGTCGTCTGTGTTGCGGTCAACCGAGTCACCTACTGCCGTGCCACTGCACTTCCGTCGACCACCAACGTCACCTCGAGCGAATCGGTCTCCTTCCGTTTCTTCGGTCGTCGCTCCTTCCCCTGGCTCTCCGACACAGGGTCGCCGCCGCCCAGCTTCTACCGAGTTCAAGAATTCTCGTGAAATCCGGCCCTTGTGGCTCGTTGAGCGCTTTGGTGCTAGCAAGTCGGAGGCTCCCTCCGATGAGCCCCTCCCTTCATTGCCTTCGAGCAAGACTTCTTCAGCAAACGCGTCTGTGGAAGACCTCGCAGCTCTGCCAGATGTGAAGAAGTGGGAAATGGTTGACCTGAGCGAACACGTTCAGGGACCGCCCCGGGCTATGGCTGTAGAGACCTCTGCTGCACAGAACCAATCAAGCGATGAGGGCTCGTATGATTTCCTCGATTCTCAACAAGGTACTCCGACCGCCGCTTCGTTCGGTCAAATTCCTCACCATCCTCCTTCCAGGAAGGAGAAGCTTAAATACGAGTTCCATTCGCCCTCCGAGCTTCTGCAGGATGTCAGCGTGCACCAGGAGTTGCCACCATCCCCAGAAATTGGCCCCCTTCCCTCAGCAGAAGGTTCTGCAGTTGGTGTGAAAGAAGATATTGGAAGTGAGCGCGTGGAGGCTCTCCCATCACTTCCTGAAGTACGCCCGTCTACGCCTGAAGACAGAGTGCTCCATGGCGAAGGTGTGGCAGAAACTACACCAACACAGACAAGAGATGATTTTGCAAAGTACGAACCCATGACTGATGTGCTATCTGGAGGTGATGCTGGTACAGGCGATGATAGTCCACTCGACTCTCAGCGCTCCGCAGAGCAGATTACTCCAGAGAAGGACCAAACTCTCGAGGAAGGCGATCACAATGCCAAAGCTGCTGCAAGTGAAGACCTTCCGGTCCAGATCCCTACCTCAGATCTCCTGACGTCAGAGAAAGATCGATCGATTCAGTCGGCCCAACGGAACACACCTGTAGACGTTGCGGCTATGGTCAGCACGGCCGTGGCAGCCGTTGCTGGTTCTGTCCTGGGCAAGCCAGACCAAACTGAGGAACCACAAGCTCGCGAAATTGATCATGCCAAAAACGAGATGAGTCTGCCTGAGGAGCCAGGCAACTTCCAGGTTGATTTCACCTCAAAGGAAGCAGGTTCCACGCCCATTATTACTGGCACAGATTCTCAAGCCGTGCCTGAGAATGTCGCACCTGCCCTGATCGTTGATGAACCTGTTCAAGGAAAGGCGGATGTCGATACGACTTCCACCGCCGTAAATGCTGGAGCAGAAACGGAGGAGCACAATCCGGAACAAGTCAATGCCGGGGATGTGGCAGATGCTAGTCACCCGGTGCCTGAATATGCTAGCAAGGCCTTGGACGACATTGTTGACATTGCGGCAGAGCCACACGTTGAGATTGAGGGACAAGAGAAATCCGCGCCACGTGAGGAAGCTGTTGTGGAGAGTCCGGAGCTGGTGGCCACAGACGAGACCAGGGTTGCTGACCAGGAGATCGCTATTCAGTCTGAAGAAACCCAGGTGGATGTATTACAATCCTGTGAAGACTCATCAGAGGCTAAACAGGAACCGGTGGAGGCTGCTACAGGAGACGTCACGGAAAACCATGAACCTACTCCCGCCGACACTGAAAAGAATGCTGGTGAGCCCACACAGGATCAACCCGAAGGACTAGGCGCCAGTGGGCCTGAGGCGATATCCGTCCAGGATACTCCCGTCGAGGCGAAGGAGCCGGAGGGAGAAAGGGCTCTTGTGGAGACAGAAATTTCTCAGGAAGTGCCAGTAAGCGACTTCGCTGGACCTACTGAGGGCGAAAAAGAGCCATCCCTATCTGAGAAGGCTCCTGAAAACGAGCATCAGGAGCCGGAACCTATCAAGACCGACAATACTCTCCTCAGCTCGGATCCCGCGGCCGAAGCCGCAGGTGACGCTACGAACGAGCCCCTCGATAAAGAAACCGAAGAGCCTGTCGCTGATGTATCTACGTCTTCGACGTCGAAAAAGAAGAAAAATAAGAAGAAGAAGAAGAAGGGCAAGAGCGTTGACCTAGGCACTCCCGAGACTACCCCAGCTTCGGATGAGCCAACTACATCCCAGGAGGAACAGAATGGGCAGAATTCTACTGAACCTGCGCTATCTGAGCAGGTGCCAGAGTCCACAGTTCAGGAGCTAGGACCGGTTGAGCCTGCTGCTGCTATCGACGAGATAGCCACCGAGACGGCGCCTTTACCTACCGCAGCTGAGGCTGACCCAGAGCCCAGCTTCCAAGAAACAGCACCCGCCGAGCACCCTACGGTGACCGCAGAATCGACAGGGGAAGTTGCACTTGAGCCTAGAGATGATGAGAAGCTAGTGGAGATAGAGACAAAAGAGCCATTTCCAGCGGAACAACCTGCTTTAACCGAAGCGCCTGCTGCGGAAAGTGAGGAGCAAATCGAGCCCACATCTCAAGAAGTGCCTACTCCTGGTGACACTTCAATCACCGGTGAAGCTTCAGCAGAGATCAATAAGCCAACCGAGCAGGGCGCCCAAGAGCCGCAACTGGCGGATCAAATCATACCTGAGGAGTCAGAAGTGAAGACGGAAGGAATGGACGATGTCAACCGAGACATTTCAGCCCCCGAACAACCTGCTGCGAATATGCCTCAAGATACGCCTGCCGCGGAAGAACCAAGCACTCTACAAGAAGAAACTGTAATAGACCAGCCTAAGGCAGAAGAGACCCCTGCAGTTCCCGAACCACAGCCTGAGGTTGAAGCAGCACCTCCTGCTGACGCCGCAGAGTCTGCGGACGCACCAGGGTCCTCTAAAAAGGCCAAGAAAAAGAAGAAGAAGAAGAGTAAAGGTGCATCTCAAGACTTGACCGCAGAAGAGGCTGTTAATGCCGAAGACACTAAGCCTTCCGAAGATTCTACGGCTGTTCAAGACAACACCGAGGTTACTAAAGCATCTGCGGGCCTAGAGGCAGCTCAACTAGCTGAGGAGGCTGTCGTTAAGCAGGCGGCAGACACGAGCGAACAACCCCAGGAAATCGAGATGAAGACACCTCTCGAGGACGACGCTACGGACAACCAGGCCAAGCCAAGTGACGAGGCAGCGGCAACTACTACGGGTATAGAAGATAGTGAGCCCTCCGAGAAGGGTGCCAAACTTGCAAACGAGGAGACTAGTCAGGCTACGGCAGCTGAACCGGACGTGCCTACAGTGGCTGATGTGCCCGAAACCTCACCGGCCGACAATATCCCCCGCCATGCCACAGAATCTACGGAGGATGCCAATAACTCCCAGTTGCATGAGGAAACTACAGCACCTACTGAGCCTGTTTCTGCTCCTATGGCGAGCCATGATGACTCTGCAGATGTTGTGCAGTCGGAAGAGAATGAGGCGTCGGCTTTGGAGCATCAGCCTGAGGAGACACCTAAGGCTGAGGGTACAATTACAATACCGGAAGAAACTTCGCAGGAGCTCACCATGGCGAACGAAGCCATTGAGTCAGAGCCTGTTGAGTTCGAGAAAGTAACAGAGCAGCTGCAAATGGACGAAAACCTAGAAGCCAATACCCAGGCGCAGGAGAAAGAACAGCCGTCCGAGGGTCAGGAAGAAAAAGACGTCCCAGCGACCGGACCCGAGCTGCAGAAGAACGACACGGAATTCGCGGACTTACCTGCTGCCAATTCAGCGAAAACAATTCCCGAGCCAGCTATACCCGAAGATAATTCTCAGGAAGCCATTGAGGAACCAGATACTTCTCTGTCACGCAAAAGTAGCAAAAAGAAGAAGAAGAACAAGCGCAAGAGCGCTGCCGCAACTTCACTAGAGACAGAGCCGACCGAGAATTCCCAGCCAGCCTCTTCGGCTGAAGCTGCTCCCGAAGCTCAACCTGCTACGGAATCTGCGCTTGCTCCTGAGGACGTGGCTGTTGTTGACACTGGGGCTGCCCTCGAAACCGAATCTGCCCTAGAACCTGAAGTTGCAGCTGAGGTTGAAGCTACTCCCGAAACCGAAGCTGCTCCGGAGCCTGAAATTGCTCCTGAGACTGAGGCCGCGACCGCGAGTGAAACAGTGCTCCATACAACTCTGGCTGGTGAAGAGCCCCCCGAGTGGAAGCTTCCAGATGAGGCTGGCGACGAAATCAAAGAATTGTCAAGCCATGTTGCGGAAACCGAAAGCAATGAATTGAAGCTTTCTGAGGGAGAACAGCCTGAGACAGGCGACTTGGCTGGGGAAACTCGAGAGCTTCAACCGGAAGAGACAGTAGAGGAGCAGCCGAAGAAGAAGAACAAGAAGAAGAAGAAAAATCGCAAATCTTCCGCCCTGGACGAAACCGAAGCTGAGCCTGAGCCTGAGCCCGAAGCTGAGCCTAATCAGCCCGAACCCAGTCAAGAAGACTCCGCCGAGCCCCCGCTCCTCCAAACAAGCGGTGAGCTGCCATCCGCCGCCCAGCAAAATAATGAGGCTTCCGAGGTTGTTATAGCGGAGCCCCTCGCCGATGCCACTGTTAGCGACTCAACCCTGCCGGTGGAGCAGACCGAGACCAATGATGAGGCACCACATGTGCCCGATCAATCGGCGGTCGAGCCGGCTCCTGAACTCGACCCTGAATCTGAAGCGGGGAGCTCTACACCGACTGGAAAAAAGAGCAAGAAGAACAAGAAGAAGAAGAGACAAAGCCTGCCTGCGACGCCTGACGAGAGCCTCGCACCTGTCGAGCCTCCCCTAGACAACACTGACCCTACGGTTGAACCAGCGGAAGTTCCCGTCGCTGCCGAAGGTTCCGGCCCCACAGAGCACGAGCAAGAACAACAAGAGGCAGTTCAAGAGACAGAACCCATCGACACAATTGAGGCCTCTGTAGAGCAAACCACTGAAGCACCGCCCATGACTGCTGCTCAGAGGAAGAAGGCGAAGAAGGAAAAGAAGAAGCAGCAGAAGCAGCAGGCCGAAACCGCTGACATTACGTCGGCGCCCGAACCAGAAGCTGTGGCCGTGCCCGAGGATGCTCCACCAGAAGACCCAGCTGTCGAGGAGCCAAAGTCTCTGGATGGAAAAGTGGATCTTCCGACGAACGAAAACTTAGAGGCAAGCGAAGGGCCCCCTTTAGAGCAGTCTAAGGAAGCCCCTACTGAAGAAGAGTCTCCCGCCATTGCAGTCGAAAAGTCGCAGAGCGATTTGGCTCAAGATGCAACCGTACCTTCTGAAGATGCCGTACTGGAGAATACGGAGTCTGCAGACGCTGCAGAAAACCAGCATCACGACGGAACTTTCACCGATGCTGAGCCAGAAAATTCAGCGGATGGCGTATCGAAATCTGAAGCTACTTCTACAGAGGAGCAAACTCAGGATGACGCTGAGAGGAACAATACCGATGAGGTGACTGCAACTGAGACAGAGGCTCCAGCAACAGAAACCGCGGATGCCGTTCATCAAGCGCCTCAAGGCGACGAGCCATCAAAGGAAAATGCCGAGCTCACCGACTTACCAGAAGAGCAGCCCGAGCCCAAGAACGATGGACCCGTATCTGAAGCAGATGCGGCACAAGAAGGCCAGACAAGCATGGCTGATACTGCTGAAAATGGTGCTCCGATCGAGAAGAATATCGAAGCAGAAACAGCAGCCATTGGAGCTACCGTATCAAAGGATGATGTCTCTACAAGCGTAGAGGCCTCTGAAGAATGGTCTCCAGCGGAACTGGCTGCTAGCGTTGACATTTCGGAGCAAGGCAGAGCCGACCAAGATACAGCTGCTGACGCGGGCCACGAAGAACCGGTTCAAGAAGAAATCCAGCCTACATCTTCTACCAAATCAAAGAAAGATAAGAAAAAGAAGAAGAAGCGTCAGTCAGTCACTCTTGATGAGTCCCAGCCTGCACTCGCGCAAGGGGATGAGAGCAACGAAACCTCACTTGAGGCAGGCAGCGGGCCTACTGACACTCCCGAGGACATCAGTAACTCTGCTGTGACCGAAAATGTCGACACTCCTGAGAACACTGTTTCAGAACCGCCAGCAGAGAAACCTAAGGACATTGAAACTGCATCAAGTGCGCCGGCTGAACCTACTGAGCCTGTTCAAGACTTCCAGGAGTCATCGAAGTCCAAAAAGAAGGCGAAGAAGGACAAGAAAAAGCGGAAGTCGGTTTCTTTCGCAGACGCGGAACCAGAATCGCAACCTTCTGAGCCCAGCGATTCTGCGGCCGATGCAATCGGCGTCGGTCAGCACGATGATGAGCCTGTGCCCAAAGGAGACGCTCATTCTGAACTGTGCCAAGATTCCCATGATGCGGAGTTAAGTCAGTCTCAGGAGGCTGAGCCTGCTTCGGAGCAGCCCGCTGAAGGAACACCTCTTGAACAAACACTTGATTTGCCGGATGAAAGTCAAGCCACTGTTTCAGATGCCATTGGTCTTGAAGACGTTGGACAGCACTCATCCGAACCTATGGCTGAGGAGAAAATCGAAGAATCTGAGGATCCGGTGACTCTACCGTCATACGAGGTTGATGCCGCAGAGAAGACCCCGAAGTCTGAGTCGGTTGAAGATCCTTCTGGGACTCCCAAGGAAACAGGAAAAGAGGATGAACCAGCGGCAGACACCATGGCCACGGGAACAGCGGAACAACTGCAGCCCGAAGGGAGTCCGGAGGCCAATGATGCACAACCTTCTGCCACAGAGGCTGATACTCAGCCTGTGAATGCAACTGCTGAACAGGACAGTGGCTCTTCTAAGTCCAAGAAGAAAAAGAAGAAGAAAAAGAAAAGCATGACTACAGAGGCAAACGAAGATACTGGTGCAGATGATGGTCCGAGCGAGCCAGTTACACCAATTGATCCCGATACTCCCGCAGATCCTGAGCTATCTACCGAGCCTGAAACCCCAGTCGGACCTCAAACGCCGCTTGAACCTGAGTCTGCAGTTGAACCTGAAACCGTGGTTGAGCCTGAGACGCCTGTCAACGCTACAATCCCTGCTCTGCATGACTCTGAGGTAGTTGGTCCACAACCCGAAGATCCTGAGAAGGAGACCCCTCCCATGTCAGCCAAAGCGAAGAAGAAGGCAAAGAAAGACAAGAAACGCCAGTCCAAGAGCCTAGCCGATGCTACAGAGCCTGCTGATGAGACTCGCCATTCGAGCGACGCCCAAGTGCCCAGCGAAACGAAGACCGCGGAACAATCGCTCGAAACGGCAAATGTACCTGCTGAAGATGACGGTAAAGACAATCAGTCCCACGGCACCGAAAACCACGGCGAGAACGATAAAGATCTGATTTGGACTGATGACATGGTATCTCCGCAGGTAGAGCAACAGCAAGCGACTTCTTTCGCTTATCCACCCCAACTCGAGCATGAGAAAACCGAAGACGACCCAGTTTCCATCCCCCCCGATGAAGTACTTAAACCCGTTGAGCTGGATGCCAATATATCAAGCCAAAATGAACAATTATCACTCAACGAGCTGGAGGAGTCGGGTGATGCGCACGAAAATTCAAATACGCAGCCCGCTGAAAGTATGGCCAAGCCAGATGATGGAACAGGGCAGACGTCAGTGGAGGAGCAAGGAGAGTTCAGCACCGACCGAAATGTGGTCGAAGATGTCTTCACTCAGGATGTGGTAGAGGAGAAAGAGCAGGCGTCGATTGGAGAGGGCGCTGGGCAGGAAGATGAACAGCTTGTCAAAAAGGACGAGTCGCTTGGCGTTAGTCCAGAAAACGAGCTGGCGGACGAGGCTACGGAGATGCGTGTGGAAGAAGTCATTCAAGCTCCGGAAATCACGCAGCAAGGGGAGTCTGTCGAGGGGGCAGCTGAGATTGAAGATTCTACGACCAATGTACCATCAAAGAAGAAGAGCAAAAAAGAAAAGAAGAAAAAGCGTCAGGCAGAGCAGACAGCCAGCCGGGACGAAACCGAACAGGGTGTGTCAGTCCAGGACAATGATCAAGCAAGAGGCACGGCTATTCCCGACGAGCTACCCGTGGAAACCGCAGCTCCCAGTATTGAACCCGGCCCTGACGCACCCTTTATGCCAGCCGGGTCGCCAATGAGCGAGGAGGAGCCAGCAGTACACGACCTTGAAACAGCCGCTCCTGTTGAGGGTCACGGAGAGGAAGCTGAACACCCAAATGATGTTCCAGTTGAATCTGAGCTTGATTCAGGAGATAAGCTTCTTGATGCTTCTACCATTGTTCAACCCGAGAAAGACACCCCTGAGGAACATGCTATTTCCGAAGGCGTTACACCGGAGGCTGCCGAAGGAGAAGCCGCAGTCGATGTTTGCGAAACCCCTGCAGAACCAGTTGCGAAGACGAAGAAAAACAAGAAGAAGAAGGGTTCAAGTCAAGTGAAAGGGGTAACTGAACCTCAGGAGGCAGCTGAACCCCGTGTCGAGAGCGAAGCAGTGCCGGGCAATGAGCTAGTCGACCAACAGGAAGTGACAGAGGCACCTTCCAAACAGGTCTTGGAGCCCACAGAAGACAAGGACAGCTTAGATGCCGTGCAAGATGACGCAACGTTGAACGAAGTTGTTGATGAGCCAGCTACTTCAGCTGACAAGACTCTCGAGCCAGCACCGGAAGATTTAGGATTTCCAATGGAGCCAGAGCAGTCCCCTCAAGGCAACACGGTCAGGGATGAAGACAATAACACCTCATCTGTCGCAGAAGCAACGGCTGCCTTCCCGAGCGATGTGGCCCAGGATGAGACAAACAAAGAGGCAGTCCTCACTCCTAAAGAATCTAAGAAGAAAAAGAAGAAAGCAAAGAAACAGGCCAAGGATGAGCAAAACAGTCCCACGCTTGCACCAGCTGAAGGCGCCGTTACCGCGGACGAAGGCTTGGTAGGGTTGACATATACTCTTGATACCACCCGCTCCCCTGTCGAAGAACCGAGCAATGCCCTCCATGATAAGCAATGGGACACTCCCCCCGCGCAGGATGATGGAGACAAGGAACAAAACCAGACCTCACAGATTGAGGAGGAACCAGTCCGCAGCGCAGAAGAATTTGACGAACACCGGGAAGTGTCTACTGCGGAGAGACAAGGTGTGGTTGTTCAGCAAGAACTAGAGTCGGCCAATGCAGAACAGGATACCAAAACACTGACAGAAAAGCATGATCTTGCGAAGACCGAAGACCTGTCAGAGAACATTCCGGATCAGCCAGAGGCATCGGCTCGCCTAACGAAGAAGCTATCCAAGAAGGAACGCAGAAAGGCCAAGCAAAGGGCGGAGCAGGAGCTTGTAGAGTCGGATAGAGGACAGCAGCCAGATTTTGACGCTGGTGCTTCAGCGGACCCGATCCCGGTCCAGGAGCAAGTGACTGAAGTACCAGACGCGCTGGCTGCTGAACAGGCTAAGATGGACGATGTCTCTCCAGGATTACCCTCTGGGGAAGAAGAGAAGCGCCTGGAAAGCCAAACCCTCGATGTCAAGAACCCAGAAGGTGAGCAACCCCACAAGAAGGATGCCACCAGTTTTCTACAACAGGAAACTGAGACCCCGGCTTGGGAACAACGCGCACAAGATGATGACTCTTGGCCTATAATAGACTGGGAGAAAAGCGAAGTCGATGCTACCGAACGATCACCCGATTCCTCACCCGAAGCTCGTGCTGTCCCGTTCGAGCCAGGCATTGCAGACTTTGATGAGAACGCAATCCCGGAAGGGGTGATCCGACATCCAAGCGCATCAACTGCGACAGGGAAAACGACCGCCAGAGCATTCCAGCAAATCCGAGGCGACGTACAAGCTACCTCTGAAGCAACTACTGTTCCGCCAATTTCACCATCTACCGCACTTGTTATCGAACACTCCATCTATGCAAAGACTAGCAGCGAGTCCCTCGGTTCGGAGTCGCAGAAGCAAAGCAAAGTTGCCAGCATCTTTCCTGAACTGGAACGGGGATTTTTCCGTCGACCAGCTCCCGTTGAGCCGTCCGAGTCAGCAAAAGATGGGGCTGAGGAAGAGACTATTGACAAGGAAGCAATTCGCGACAGCGCGATAGTCTTGGAGGCGCCCATCAGCACGGCCAACTCCCCTTCGTCGGGGCAGGGCGATGCCAAAACTGCTACAGAACCTACTCAAGCAGATGAGTCTACACAGTCGGAGACTGGGTTGCACCCTTCTTCAAACGAGCCTACGATCGAAGTTGAAGCAGATACTTCGTACAATGTTTCTGTGCTTTCGGACGGACCGGAAGAGAAGTCTAGACAAATTGACATACGGTGGGAAGAACAGAAGGACAAGGAGTCTCCCAGGGAAGTTGAAGCTGAAACCGCAGAGCCCGGCCCTTTCTCCCACCACGAGGCTCCACTATACGCCCCATCGCCCGTGCATGAGCGACAGTCGGTACTCGTTCGGTCAGGATCCCCATCTGGTAGAGATATTGGACGAGAAACGTCACGCTCCAGCCCAACTTGTGAGCTACGACGCAGCCCATCCATTCACGGTCGACATAACCAAACGCGGCGGCCGTGGTCATTGGAGGTCGACCAGAACTCTCAGCCACGTACACCCTCGCCGCAGCCGACAGGGGTGGATAGAGAGACAGTCTCACCGCCGCGGACACCATTGCAAACCATCGAGGAGGACGAGCCAAGGGGTCGGACGGAGCGATCCACCGGCTCAAGAACCGTGGGTCACGAACGCGGCACGCCCCGTCTGGAGATGAAGCCCGAACATGTGCTTCCTCGCCCCGAAACCCCGACCCGGAAGTTTACTGACAATGCGCTGGCCCGTCAGGCCTGGCCAACGCCGGACAAGGAGACGCCGTTTGACGAAAACACGGATGTCGAGGTCAAGAAGCGTCGACCTGAGAGTCGAGTGGTGGACGGTAGATGGCCGGCTGAGGTGCTCAAGACGCCGGAACAAGACAAGCCAATTCTGCGGCCCACCAGCAGTAGCATCCGAGGGGTTAAGAGTATGCACAACATTACGCCGAACCTCGAGCAGACGCCGACTCCACGATCGCTGCGACGCAATCATCGCACTGCCAGCGGAGATTTGCGGGCGGCAGCCACCACTCAGGCGCAGGAGACTGACGACCAATCAGAGCGCAAGCCCCAGCCTCCCGCTTCTTCAACCTCGGACCTCAACCTCGAGCGCATCGCCTCTTCTTCCTCCTACGACCCTGTCACCGACAAGGGCAAGCGTCCCCTTCGTAATATGACGGACGTTTATGTAAGTACTACTAGTTGATTTTTTCATACATTCTATGCAATGATCTTTTCGTTGTTATTGAAAGGTCTGGGTTGGCTGACCGATCGTCTGTTTATTACTGTAGGAGGGTTGGGGTGAGACGCCCAGCTCGCCCCGGTCGCCTAGCCGACCGCCCAGCATCCGGCACCGTCGAAGTATGCAACACCTCCAAGAACTTGAGTCTCGTCTCGACCGCCTCATCTCGGAAAATCGTCTTCTCGCCGCTGCTCGTGAGGAAGCTGAAGATAAACTCCGCAAGACTTCCGTCGCTCGACGCAAGAGTGACCATGCCCTCAACAGCCGCGACGCCGATTTGCGGGACAAAGATGCGGAAGTGGAACAATTGAAGAGCTCGTTGGAGTGGTTGCAGAAGGAAGTAGCCCGATTGACCGAGGAAAATACGGGACTTGCGACGACGAGCTCCAACCTCACTGCCACACATGCACAGGAAGTTCAAGTTATGCAGGAGACGTTTGATCGCCAAGTCGATGAATTACGCTCGGAGAACCAACAACTGTCGGCGGAAATGCACGATCGGGTGCGACAAGAAGTGGAGATGGCGTTGGCCCAGAAGGATATGGAGCTACGACGGCTACGGGAGGAATTGGAAAATGCTCGCGACAAGGTGAAGCAACTACAGCAACAGATCGCGGCAGCCATGCAGGACGACGTCTTGGTCTTTCGCGACGAGGATTACTTCGATGCTGCTTGCCAGAAGCTATGTGGTCATGTACAGCAATGGGTCCTCCGTTTCTCCAAACACTCCGACCACCGCCGCTGCCGCAAGCTCAGTGACCTGCAAGATGAAAAGATTGCCGACCGATTCGACAACGCCATCCTGGACGGTTCCGATGTAGACACCTACCTCAGCGATCGCGTTCGTCGTCGTGATGTATTCATGTCTGTTGTCATGACCATGGTATGGGAGTTTATCTTCACACGATACCTATTCGGCATGGACCGTGAGCAACGGCAGAAGCTCAAGTCTCTGGAGAAGCAACTGGCCGACATTGGCCCACGCAGTGCTATCCATCGGTGGCGTGCCACTACTTTGACTCTGCTCTCGAAACGGCCAACCTTCTCGAAGCAGCGTGAGAGCGATACCGAGGCTGTTGCCTTGGAGATCTTTGACACTCTGTCGCGCCTCCTCCCGCCACCTACCAATGTCGAGGCTCAGCTTTTGGACTCGCTCCGCAAGGTGCTCCGTGTCGCGGTCCACCTGTCGATCGAGATGCGCACACAGCTGGCAGAATACATCATGCTACCGCCACTGCAGCCCGAATATGACACCAATGGTGATCTAGCTCGCCAGGTCTACTTCAACGCCTCCTTGATGAATGAGCGCAGTGGAGAGACCACGTCAAATGAAGAGCTGGAAACGCAGCAAGCGGTAGTACGGGTTGTTCTGTTCCCATTGGTGGTGAAGAAGGGCAATGACCGGGGGGAAGGCGACGATGAGGTAGTTGTCTGCCCGGCCCAAGTACTCATTGCCAGACCCAACAAGGATAAGAAGGTGGTGAAGATGCTCAGCGGCGATCGCATGTCCCTGGATGCTACGAGATCGGTCCACAGCGTCGCCCCGTCGTCAACCATGGACATGAGCAATGTGATCTGAGGCGTCACACTCAGACCATGACTTGTCTCATAGTCTACGAAAAACGACGACTGCACACTTTGCTGGGAGTCGGATCCATCCTGCTTTGCGGGTCGTTATGGTTTTGTTTTGTCTTTTGCGTTGGTTAGCACGGGAGGCGTCAGGACGGATGGATGGATGGATGATGGGAGCCGGATTCCAAACCGGTTCACAAAAATGGTAATGAATAATGCTTGGAAGGCTACTTGGAGCGTTTGCTGTGCTTTCAATTATATCCCCTGCTTGGTTGCTTGGTTGCTTTGATTCTTTTTTTCTATTTGTTTTATTTTGCATAATTTTTTTCATTTCTTGTCTCATATTGATGATGTCTATGATGATGCCCGATATCTAGAGCTGACGATATGACGGCCTTGATTGCTACTTTTGAAGTTATTCCTTTCACTTGACCATGTTGTTGATGTAACATTGTGTTTGTGGTGTCTAATATGTATGACTGTATGTAGTATGATGACAATGAGACCATTGAAGGCTCTGTGATGGAAGATCAAAGACAGGACTCGTGTAATTAAGTTTGGAGGGGAGCTAAAAGCGTCGGTGAGCCAGTGATGTCATCACCTGACCGGGCCTTAAAGCGGTGATAATGGCCGGGCAGGGGGGCCGCTGGAGCTCCCAGTTTCCTTGCTTTTCGGCAGGCTGTTGGTCTGGATCTCTCTCACTCCTCCATCTTCAACTTGGGACTTCGCTTGACAGCAGAGGGTCCTCTATTTGGCTTCCCCACCTTCACCCCCCATTCTATCCCCCCCATCGTGTATTCTGTACTACACAGTACCTCTTAGGATCATCCCCCCGTCTCTCCAGTTGATGGAGCTCAACCCTTACCGTTGGAAGTGCCTCATGTCCCACCACGCCTCGCCCCTCGCTCCCCGATCTCCAATCGCTCTGCGCCCTGCGCCCCGATGAATTGTCCCTGACCACGCTGAGCCCTACTAGGCTGGCTGACACTGCATACCCGATAACCTTGCGTTTTGGATTGCCTTTTTTAAATCATCGTCATCATTACTCTCATTCTTATCGCAGCAGTCATTCCTCGGTGTCGAAAGCGCCGCCGTGCATGGTGCTGTTGAACCGTCTACTATCTACGGAGTACTAGCTGCAAAGTTATCGCCTTGAGGAGTGGAACCCACTGAGATAAGGAATTGGGGGACATTTCCCAATTTTTTGGGCCGATCATCGTGCATGCAGCATCTGCGGCCCCGAGGCCCTCGTTCCAGATCACAATGCAGCCTTCACCGTCAACTCCACATCAGACCGCTCCCAGCCCGACCAAACCCTCCCGACACAGTAGTCGACGTGCCGGTGACTCCCAGTCAGCAATCACGCGTGGCTACGACACTCCTGGCTCGGATCGGAAGCAGGACGATGGCGCAGGAAGCAGATCAGGTACCACGGTTAAATCTGCCAAACGGAAAAAACCCCGTCATCGAAAGCGTCGTCATCGCCGTCAGTCCTTTCTCGGCGGCGCTGAGGATCCTCATCCCGCCGCTCCTCATGCCTCGATCCCCGACGCAGGTGAGGATATCAGCATGATGGCAGATCAGACCAAGACTCAAGCTCCGCTGCCGTTCTATAAACTGGGTAGTAGGGATCTCAGTAGCACTAGTCTGGAGAGTGAGGCTTTGTTGGATCATCGGTATGTTACTGACGTCTATTCCATTTCCCTGTGGCTGATCAGTGTGTTCTACATAGCCATCAACCGTCGATGAGACCACGGAGAGATAGTCGTCTGGCCCAATCTTACCGTCCGGGTTCCTCCACCACCCCTTTTCGTCCCATCGAGTCGGGTTCCCAGACCCTGCCGTCTGCGCACAGATCGTATCGAGTGGATAATGATAGTGGTGGAGAGGACGAAGAAGTCAACGATCGGACTCCGTTGATGCCGCCGCCCTCTGGCCATAGTCCTAGCTTGCCTCGCTACGGGACCGACTTTCGGTCAAGCCCGCTGTCGTTCCACCAGCGACGACCTGCTTCCAGTCGTTCGAGTTCTTCTCGGTGCTCGCCTCGTGCCATACCGAGTCCCAAGTTTGCCGAGCAACAAGATCGTGATTATGACATCAACAATCCCCCGTCAATGCCAACGTCGCCCAAGCTCGGGCCGGAGATGAACTATGACGATGCAGTGGTCACTGGGGCTGAGTTTGACTTTTCGCTCGCCAAGTCGATTGACAATCGGATGGAACAACTGGCTCGCTCCCATGATGTGTTGATCGACGTCGATGGAACCAATAATCGTCCTGCGCAGTCACCCGGGTCGTCGCCGACGTCGCCGCAGATCATGCCTCAGGAGCGTCTCCGTCGTCGCACGACCTTCCCAGCTGAAGAAGATGTCTGCTTCCCAACGGAAGAGGTCTCGGAAATCGCCGAAGAAGACGCACAGAGGGCGGCCAAAGAAGGTCATCGCCGACGGCGACGGCTCAGGGAATGGCCAGATCTATCCGTTTTGGAAGATTGGAGCCGCCAGGAGAAGGAGGAGCGTTCAGGTGCCTACCGCGCGAAGAAAATCAGCGAGCCTATGCTTGTCGAGGGTCGCCTGCGTCCACAGTACCGACTCTGGCGGCGCGAAGAGGAGGAAGCTCCCTACCGATTTACGTACTTCAACGAAGAATTCCAGAGTACTATCCACGCCCAGACAATCTCGGAACTATGCCAGCCTGGTGGTAGTTTCCGCGAGCTTTTCATCCCTGATCCGCCAGAGTTAGATGTTTCATCTGATGAAGACGAGTTGGAGTCTGAGCATCCTCAAAGGGAGGGCACAACGGACCACAACAATCATAGCCGTCAGCCCAGCGGAAACGTATCCCGGGTCATGTCGCCGAACGGTAACAGTCACGGCGCGAATGGAAATGGTATCCATAATCACAACAATCACCAGGGCGTCTACGGGAATCAACGGCCCCAGCCTCGGACGTCAATCATCAGTGAGGCCGTCACCGAGGCACGTACATCTGCCGAAGCATCGCCTATGCGCAAACCAGCTCAACCGAAGCCCAAGCGTTATGGGCCTCGGCCGACATTCTGGCTTGATGTTCTTTGCCCTACCGACGCAGAGATGCGAGTGCTTGCCAAATCCTTTGGTATCCATGCCCTGACGACCGAGGACATCATGATGCAAGAGGCGCGCGAGAAAGTCGAGCTGTTCCGGAACTATTACTTTGTCAACTACCGCACCTTTGAGCAAGACCCCAACAGCGAAAACTATCTCGAGCCCGTGAACATGTATGTTGTGGTGTTTCGGGAAGGTGTGCTGTCCTTCCACTTCTCGCAGACGCCACATCCGGCGAATGTGCGCCGACGAATCCGCCAGCTGATGGATTACCTTATTCTCAGCTCCGACTGGATCTCGTATGCTCTTATTGATGACATCACGGACGTGTTTGGCCCCTTAATTCAGGCCATTGAGGACGAAGTCGACGAGATCGACGAGAAGATCATGCAGATGCATGCAGATGAGCGAGGGATGGGGACCAACAAGGAAGAGGATAATCAGAGCGTGACCACGTCTCTGGCCCCCGGTGAGATGTTGCGGCGCGTGGGCGTGTGCCGCAAGAAGGTGATGGGGATGTACCGCCTGTTGAGCAACAAGGCAGACGTTGTCAAGGGCTTTGCCAAACGATGCAACGAGCAATGGGAAGTGGCGCCCAAGTCGGAGATTGGTCTCTACCTGGGCGATATCCAAGACCATATTATGACCATGACCAGCAGTTTGACGTACTACGAAACGTACGTTGCAGCCTCTTTCTTCAGTATGGGTTATTGATTTTGCTAACTTGACTGCTGTGTTGTAGGCTTCTGTCGCGTGCGCATTCCAACTACCTGGCGCAGATCAACATCCTGATGAACGAGCGGCAGGAACAGACGGCCGATGTGTTGGGCAAGTTGACGGTGCTGGGAACGATTGTCCTGCCGCTGAATATTATCTGTGGTATGTGGGGGATGAACGTCAAGGTGCCGGGTCAGGATGTGGATAGTTTGTCGTGGTTTTGGTCGAGTAAGTCTCTCTTTCCCCCTTCTCCCTCTCGTGCGTCTAAGAACTACTGTTGTTTATCTACATCAAGTTGAGGATGTCATGGCTAATGGAGTGTCTGATCAGTTACGGCGGGGCTGGTTCTCTTCGCCATTGCGTCGTTCTACATTGCGAAACGAGTCTACAAGATTGTCTAGTCTAGTCTAGTAGTCTAGAAAGATGGTCCGAGTTGTCGTGAAGAGAAGGAGGTTGACACACCGAATGTGGTGCCAGGCAGCTCTGGTTTGTTGGGTTAATTTTTTCACATTTTCCTATTTACTTTGCTCTTTGGGTTATCACACCGGGGTTGCATTGGGAGGTCTGGCGTGATCAGAGTTTATTTGCAATACCTTGGGTCTGGCTACTGCTTCATTTCCTTCCATCTATCTGAGGTGTATATTATGGCTAGGATAATAGAGGGTGGTATATAGCATGTGAAAGGGGGAATGCAACCCCCTTCCCCTTGAAATTTCATGATATTTGGTAAAACAAAAAGCTTAAACAGAGTTTCTGGGAATTAGCACAAACCTGCTGGGAAGAAGTTCGTTCCGCGTCTCGAATGGGTTTCTCCGGGATGAGAGTGAGATGAAGTCATGATGATTTCCCCGGTCGGAGGGATGTTCCGTATCTGTTCCCGTATTGTCCCGTATGGTCGGGAATTGGGGGAGGGTGTTGCCGCTGGTAAAGTTACCAGACTGCGATGTCACAGCAGGTATTGATTCCTGAGGAATGCCGTTTTGGAAGGATTGTTTCATTCTTAGCTCGAAACTCGAAACAAAACCATCCAGCAAACATAAGTAACTGAACTAGTACTAATTGGACTGACTTCATCATCGCCCTCCATCCATCCAGCCATCCTCCCTCTTGACTAACTCATCTTTCCCTCCCCCACGTCATTCTTCTCTTCTTGCCCTCTTTTTATCCATCTTCCTTTCACTATCTAGCTACCTGCTGGTCTACTACTCTACCTCCGCCGGCTGAAAGAAAGAGAGAAGGAAAGAAAGAAAGAAAGAAAACAGGTCCACTTCAGTGCTTGTTGACTCCCACGCTAGACGCCTCTTTTTTCCCTCCCGTTCCTTGACGTGGGCGGCTATCATTGGGTCTCGCCGTCCCCCTCCCCTTGACTGGCCGATCGGGGTCCTCTTCTTTTCTCTTACTACTCTGTGTACGCACTTGACGACGACTGGAACGACTTACTATACTTACTTAAGTAAGTCAGTACACAGTCGTCGCTATCTAGCTATCTAGTACTTTCGGCCTATCTCCCGTGCTGCCCTTAATCAAGACGCACCCGCTTGCTTGCTGGGTGCCCCGGTTACTGGCGAAAACTGGGTCAGCTTCTCTCGGGTACCGGCTTAGTGCTATCACTACCAAGCAGCTAGCTAGATACACTACCACTACACCCACTACACACTATTCTCTTGCTGGGTTCTTGATGGCTGGATGGTTGGTTGGCGGTGCTACTACTGCTGACTGCCACTGCTACGTACTCACTGGCTTGCCTGCCTGTCTGACAGATTCCGCAGTCGAAAGTTTCTGACTTCGCAATCGATTCCTTGCGTCTGACAGCCTGTCGAAACCTGGCTTGTCCGTTCGCCATTCCCTCCTGCCAGCTGCCAATAGACATCATCAAACTCTCTGGATTCCCCTCCATCCATCCCTCCCTCCCTCTTCACCTCCACCATCCACAACCGTCCGCCTCCCGCAAGCCTCGTTCCGGCCATACCTGCAGTTGGCCACCTGGATCGACATCGTTCTCTCGTCCTTCCCGTGAGCTAACGCGCTTGGGGCCTTGTTCTAGACGTTCCATCTCACCGTCTTCTGATCGAGTTATGTGCACGGTTGCGCCCGCGTTGACGGCTTCGGTCTACTTGGATTATTACTTGGTTTCCTGAAAAAAGGGCCCGGGCTAGGAAAACAACAACAACAATATCCTCCGCTGGGGTGGGCTGCATCATCATTCACCACACACACACACGCACATTCTCTCCCCCCTGGTTCTTGCATCCCTCTCTACAACCATCCCCTCCTCCTCGCAGAGTTGATATACTTTTTCCTCCGTCTGGTAATTCTCAAGGCCATCAGCAGCATGTGGCTGTCGTCCATTCGTCCTCCCACTCGGTTGATTGTGTAACGTGGTTTGGTACGACAGACAGGAAACCGCTGTTCTGAATATCCCAACGCGGCGACCACTTAGCTGTCGCCATTTTTTCGAGCCCCCCGAATCTCCTGACACCCAGTGCTTTATTTTTTTGTTGTCTCTTTTTTTTTCTTACCCTCCCCCCTTCCGTCCTGGGGTCTCCTGCCGGCTGGTGGCTCACCGATACTTCATTATTGGGATTTACGTTTCCTTTTTTCTTCCTTTTTTTTTACCCTTTTTTCTCTCATCCTCCCCTGTCCGGACCTTTGTTCCGGTTCCCTCTCGGACTTCGTGATTTCTACCGGTCTTGTCAGAAAGCTCTGACTCGCCAGAGATCATGGCGGCGGAGTCCGGGAGGTCACCTTATCCCAATGGGACCTCTGGTGGATCTCGTATGGCCCACGGAGATGAGGCTGCCTTGTCTGCACCACGCCGATCTGCCAGTGAGAGTGACATGATAGAAGTGCCACGTTCAACCTTTAGATCCCAAGCCCAGGGCTCCGCCGCGTCACAGCTGCCTAAGTTCTCGCATGCGGTTCCTGGCGTCTCCACCTCAACGTCTACCACCAACTCGGCTATATCCTCCCGCGAGTCCTCCCCCGTCCGCTCCTCTCGTCCGCGCAAAACCAGTGCAACCCCCCGTCACTCTACTTCTCGATCTCGCAAAGGCAGCATCGATCGCAGTCCCAATCGTTCCATTGCATCGACGAATACTGGTTCTGGCACGCTCCCCTCCGCCACGGTCGTACAACGAGCGCTGTCCCAGAACAGCAGACCTCCCGTCCTCAGCCCACCCCCCAATGCCGAAGCGTTCTCCGATGTGCCCAGTCCGGACAAGTCCACCATGCCATTATGGGCCACAACGCGGCGGTCGGAACCACAAGAACCTACTCTTCCGAATACCTCTATCAAACGGTCAGTGCCGGATGACTTTGCGACAAAGCCAGACCGGAGTGCTCCCCGTGCCGTAAATAGGGGCCAGGGGTCGGCTCTGGAAACCGTTCAGGAGATGGCCAGTGATCAGTCCACACCGTCGACCGATACGATCATGAACCGACCCCTGACTGAAGAGTCTCAGTTACAAAAGATCGATGAGTCGGACGCCACCCCCAAGGCGTCGCGGTTCAACAATGAGAGTGGCAGCGATAGTGGAGGGAACAAGAGCTCCGAGCCAATGGAGGGTTATCGCCGTCATTCTGCTTCGAAGACCCGGGGGACCAACGCCCTTCTCTCCAAGCAGTCCTCTACGTCTTTGAGCGGCGGTCCTCGTGCCAAACCGGCGGATGAATCTGTCCGGAACATGATTGTCGAGACAGAGACCGTCAGCTCCATCCCCCAGGTATCCTTAGCTGTGGCTACCGGGGACCGGGGCAACACTGGTCGGGTTGATCCGTCGGGCACTCTTCGCATGAAGGGTAGCCAGGAGACAATCCGGGCCAAGAAAGATAAGAAGCGGGTGCGCAAACCGGCGACCTTGGCCAGCGGCGCTGCATCCTCCAAGGCGGACATTTTCGAAGCTAAGGTGGCCAGCGCCGTTGACGAGGCCGATGTGTCCGACTCGGACGAAACGTTTGTGTACGAGTCCAACCCTCCAGACCCGTATCCCGTGCGGCAGAATCGGTACCATTCCCGGACCCCCAGTGCCACCTCCATGGCCAGTCAGGTCGATCAGCTTTCTGCGGTTCGCAGTCGGCCAGGAATTCGGGATGGCAACCACAGTGTGACCGGCAAGCGCAGCATGAAGTTTACGAATAATACATTTGCTAGCGGAGCGGACGATCCCGGCGAAGAGAGTGCCCGAAGCCACTCCCGAGTCGATAACGGCGGCACCCACACGCCCCGCCACCATCACATCGGGCGATACGGACGCAACAACAACCTGTATCCGTCCCTATTCGATCATGAGTCACCGTTCCCTCAGCCTCAGACACACCTCAAGTCGCCCCGGCATTTTATCAGCGGCGGGTACCGGCAGTCCCGGCATCCGGGGTCTCGCGCTGGACCCAACTACCGCACGATCAGCGGCACCAAAAAGTCGAACGATGGCTACGGCTACGATTTTGATGCTGAAGGGGCGGATGATGAGCGGACGCCGCTGGTAGGATCCCCCCGAGTGACACGCAGCCGTCATGGCGCTGGTCGACGCCCCAATAGTGCTAGCCTACGCCAGATGGAATACCTCCAACAGCGGCAACGCGGGTATTTTTCGCGGTACGGTGCGTGTGTGATCATCAGCCTGCTGCTCTTATTGCTCGTCGGGGGTGTGACGTCGTTCGTGGTGGCCTCCACGAAGGCTCTCGTGGACGTGGAGATTCTAGACATCCAGAATGTTCTTGCTTCCGAGCAGGAGATTATGTTGGATCTGAACGTACAAGCCATCAATCCGAACTTGTTCCCCGTGTCCATTGACGATATGGATATGAACATCTTTGCCAAGAGTCGATTCGTTGGGACCGACGAGCTTTGGCGCAAACTCAGCTCCGACTCGAGCTCCGTCCCCAGAGTGGAGAACAGCAGAAAACGAGCCGAGATGGCTCTCATCGCTCGCTGCGCTGGCGATGCGAGTTGTCTGTCGAATAGCACCCTATCGGTGCACGGCAAGAAGACCAAGGGCGGCGTGGACAAGGGCACGGATCCCATCGAGTCTGATCCGGCGGGCGATCCCCAGACTATGCTGCTGGGTCGGGTGTTCCGATTTGATTCTCCTCTATCTTTCGAGCCGTCGCCATGGAATTATGTTCCTACGGCATCGAAAGGACAAATTCGGCTTGCCCGTCCGGGCAACAAGACGGAAGAAGGCGGCACGGAGCGATGGGAGCGGGTGCTTCAGCATGAATTTGACCTGATCGTCCGTGGTGTGGTCAAGTACCAGCTTCCACTGAGTTCCCGTCTGCACTCAGCCTCTGTTAGTTCTAGCATCAAGGTAATCCCTAACGAGGACGATGACACGGATGGGGGCGGCAAGCATTCTCCGAACAACGAGACCGTCAGTATTTCGGGGACCAAGTATTATCGCCGGCTTCGACGCGCCCGATCCGAAAGTCCCGAGATCTCGACGTTTGAGACGGTGAGGAAGACCCTTGGGTTCATCAAGCGAGCATTTACGGCGTGAAATTGGTTTCCCGTAGCTGTCGGTCATGATCGCGTGGCTTCGCACTACTCAGCTGTGTCTCCTTCCCATACTTTATCGTGCTGGCTTTCGTCTCAACGGTCTTTGGATCCCTGCCCTTTGCGGAAGGTCAATCTATCCAGAATAAGGACTGAATGACCGGGTGTGACCCTTGCATATGGGGGTATCCCTCAAGAGGAGCAAGGGCTACTCCCCCTTGTGCCACTCGACATGGCGTATGACAGTACGCTATTGCGATAACGTGTTTCCTTTGTTGGAGCTTTCATTTTATCAAACCTAGCGATTGGTCTATTTCTCAACTGATGTGTAACGACCTGATAATTTCATCATGAAAAGAAAACGGCAGCAAAAGCATGGAGAACGGCACAGTTTTTTTTCTTCTTCTATTACAATAAAGGAAAAGAACGTTATGTATGCATCAGCACGGCGCTCTATACAGCTTTCTTTTTCTGGGAGTATGTTTTTCACTTTTTCTTTCTCTTCTTACTTATTGTGTTGCTTGCTTCAACTTGCGTGGTTGGTTTCTGGATGGGAGCGTTGTGTGTTTGATTAGAGGGGAGCATCGGTGACGGGTGCACACGTTCTCTCTTGCTTTTGCTTCCGCATGGGGTGAGGGAAACCTACCATGCTTTTTTTGTATCTATGTATGTGTGTACATAATATTCTATATGAGGTGCTTGACTGTGCCACATTCGAAGAAGTTAATTGCATGATATGGTGGATAGATAGGGGGTAGGGTAGGGGTATGGGTACATAGATATAGTACATACGGGGGAGTGTATGGATATACATAATACGATGATAAATGGATGCAATGAGCTCATCATATACTACATCCTCAGCTGATAGCTGAATGACTTGCTTGAGGAAACAAAGATATTGGGGTACTTATGTTCGATTCCATATTCAGCCTGACTCACTCAGTGAGCATCGACAGTAAGAGTTGTGAGATACTAGTTCACGTGGTTTGACTAACTCAGCTTACTCGCAGTATTCCACAGCACCGTCTCAGTGGGCTCTTACTCCACCGAAACGTCGACTATGATTATGATAGTAGTAGCTCCCTTCAGAGAAGCGATCCTCAAAACCAATCCACTGCTGAACGAACCACCACCACCACCACCATCATAAGTAGTCCGTATCTAGTTACACATAAATACATTCATGCTCTGCGAATACGTACAAGAGAGGGGGAAAAAAAGAAAAGAAAAGAAAAGAAACTACTAATAATAAGTCGAGGTGAGTAGTAAATAGTATACCATAGACCACACTACTATGCGACAGATAGGTACAAACCCCCTCATCTGCATCGCATTGAAATTCGATTTATTTCATTATTACTCCCGACCACCACAGTATCAAAATACGAAGTAAACAAAGGAAACGAGAAAATAGAGTCATCAAATCAAGTAAAATCCAAAAATGTCGCATGTTGCATAGTATCTATACATGGAAACCACTACTTTCTACAACTCTGATAATGCCGAATAAACCCGGCCCCCACTTCCCCCCCAACTTAGGAACATTATTACATGAGACAGGCCAGAACTTACAGTTAGAGATAAGTGACCGAAGAAAAGGGTGGCATTTATTATGATGGGGGGAAAGTGTATAAATATGCAAGGTTAATAATGCTTAACCAGTCAATAGTAACACGTAACCTTAGTAACTAGGAGGAGTAGGTGGGTGGATCTCTTGGATTAATCTATGGTTCGTTTGAGCAGCATGTATCTTCTACTGCAAGGAAAGTAAAACAGATATAATACAAGACATTAAACTGAAATAAGGTTTGAGGTATCTGGAATTAAGCAACTCAAAAGTATGTATCTATCTGGATAGGTACATGAGTAGGCCGGGCTACTAAGTAGATAGGGAGGAAGAAGGAGGAGAACGAGAAGTGCAGAAAAGGCAGCGAATGTGTTAGATCGAGATGCAGGCGAGGAGATAGTCTCCCCACCAATAATATGCTACTATTTTTCGTCTAGTCGCTGCCTTTTTTTTAGTTTTGGCTGCCTTCAATGCAAGTGGGCTTACTACAGTAAGTACTTGGAACCGAGGACCATGCAAGATACATCCAATGCGAACATTTGAAGAAAGATAGCTGTTCCCTCTACGGTGAGTGAGAAAGTACAATGTTCGACCTGTCTGTCGGTTTGGATTGGCTCATGTATCGTTCGGCTGTTGGGGCTGCAGATCTGCACATGTTTACGTCCGGCATTTGCCTTTCCTGGAAGACGCATCCTCATCCAAGGCAGGCACGCAGAGATCGGCATTTGAACCCGGAATTCTCCCTGAACGGGACGATCTATCAAATCTGCGAGATCCTTCGGCCGAATGCCGGCATTGTCAATTTCAGTCTGCGTACTTGAAGCCACATTGGAAAAAACAAAAAGAGAGAAGCATTTGATAGATACATGAGGCCGTTAAAGCGTTATATTCTCGTAAAAACAGACGTGTCAAATCAGATCATTCATCATCATTACTTCGTTCGCTAACCAGGAAGCGGCTTGAAAGATAACGGTGAAAAAAGATAGGCGGCAAGATATCCACCACGATTACGCGAAGACTCGGTTGAACCCCCTCATGAGCTGCTCAAGCCGACCTGCCAGCGGATCATCGTCGGGCTGTGGCAGAAGCCGGCCATGCGAGTCAAACCGGTCAGGCAGATCAACCGTCGAATCAGAATCAGATTCCGTCGCATTATTCTGCTGGCCCTGTGACCCAGAGCGGGCATCGTTACGTTTGTATGAAGAGTATGGCTCCGACGAAGAGTGTCGACGAGCCTGAGGGCGGTTGCGACGGCTCCCATGTACTGACCCAATAGTGGAATCACTGTCATCCGTCTCATATCCTAGGTCCTTCTGCCCTTCATGTTCGGAGTGAATATCAAATACAACTGACTTTGGCCCCGGAGGCTGACTGGCAGCGCGTGATCGGCGCCTCCTCGCACGGGGTGTCCTCAGCGATGACTGCGCATCTACACCTAAGTGGTATGGTCAGCAATAACTCAGGCTAGCGGCAGTCTTCCTGAACCCACCATCGAATCCGCGGTCTTGGACAGTGGGCTGGGGATAGTTCGATGCACTCACATTCTCGTCTGCCCTGCGGGGCCGCGGAGCGTAAGGGTCTGGGCCAGGGCCAGAGGGATAGTCGTACGACTGGGGTGGCACCGGGCCAGGAGGGTGTGGATAGTCAGCTGGGCTGTAAGGTGCCGGTTCTGGGCGTGGGCCTGTCGCTGGAGGGGGTGGGAAGTAGTTGCCGTTTGGATAATACTGGTGATCATCAATTGGCCGAGGCGCTGCTGCAGGTGTGGCCGGATAGGGTAATGGATTTTTGTACGAGCTGTCATATGGCTCACGGCGTGCATCCTCATCGGACTCTAGCACACAACCGTCAGCTTGGAATGCCCTGTTTTGCTGCAGCTCACCAAGGCTTACCCGGCCTATCTCTGTCCCTGTCCGCCTTCTTGCGTTCGTTTCGCTGTGAAAGCTTGTGAGCTGCATACCCAACTCCCGTGGCGGCTAAAGCAGCTTCGGCGAGGTCGCGGGAACGGCTGCGATGCTTGCCATGACGGCTTCGACGCCTCCGGTGGCTGCCTCCGTCAGAATCGGACGAGTCGCTACTGTATCGGACGCCCCGGCTGCGACTACGGCTGCGACTGAGACTGCGTGTTCGATGCCTGGAAGACCCGAACCCGGCAGCACCGCTGGCCACAGGATCAGAAGCGTCGGAATAATAGCCATGCGGGCTCACTGGGCGGCCATAGTAGTTAGGAGGAATGCTGCCATGAACTGGATGATCCCCGTATTCAATCAAACCAGGCGAGTCTCTCGTTGGGTCAGGGTACACCTCCGACGGGGCACGGCTCCGCGACCTCGAGCGTCGACGTTCTCGACGTCGTGACTCCTCCTCTTCTTTCTTTTCCTTGTTCTTCTCGTAGAGACCCGTTGCTGCGGCCGTTCCAAGTCCAGCCGCTACCACAGGGAGAGCCTTCCGGATCGCACTGTGTGATCGAGACTCGCGTCTGCGAGAGCGGGAACGGCTGCGTGCCTTCTCCACCAGCCCCGCTACGGCCGCTCCAGCCAGACCAGCCTCTGCCATATGCTTCCTGCGTTGCGACTGGCTGCGTTTCTCTTCATGGGTATCCCTTAGCGATCTGCGCGAGCTCGAGGCGCGGCGGTGGCGTGAGCGACTTCGTCGGTCTTTGTTCGAATTCGACTTACTCCGCGCCAACGCCACGGCTCCGGCAATGGCAGCAGCACCTAGGCCAAGTTCCGCAAGATGTCGGGCACGTGAGTGGGAATGTGAGCGGCTACGGCTGCGGCTGCGGCGGCTATGGCTATGGCGATGGTGGTGATGATGATGACGGCGCGAGTGAGAGCTTCTGCCATCGTCAATCGAATGGGAGCGATGTCGGCTTTTGCTGCGGTAGTGGTCTCTAACGCGCGAAACTGCCTCTGCCGCAACAGCCCCTAGAGCACCCGCACCGACATCTCTGCCCAGGCGGCCAACACCATCCGCCACTTCTTCCCCTTCTTTCTTGCGATGATTACGAAGCAGCTCTGCGGCACCGACACCCGCTAGCGCACCCTCGGCCAGATGCCGCCGATGGTGAGGGCTATCATCGTATTCCCGGACCTCTTTACGGATGTAAACCATGCTGTCATCACTGCTATACGCCTCTTGGTCATCTCGATGGCGGGCAGCCTGAGAGATGGAGTCACTAGGGCTCAGTTCCCGTCGAGAGCGGCGGTCATCATCGTATTCTCGAACACGGCGATGGTAGTAATAACCGCCGGGCTCTCTGTCTACTTCAGAGCGCCGGACGACTTCGTAGTCGGACTCCCTCGGGTTGACGTAGACGGGACCTCGGGCTTCAAGAAAGATTACCGGCTGAGCTTCACGAATGACAATGGGGGCGGGATATCTGCGGATGCGCTCGGGCGCATAGTACTCACGTTCGTAATAGTCTCTTTCGGAGCGATAGTCATATGGGCGCGAGTCGTAATCAACCTCACGCTCGTAACGCTGCACCGTTAGAGGTTCATCACGATCGACTGAGCGCCGGATCACCACTTCTCTATCACCAGGGTCTTCGCGGCGATAGAAAAAGTCGCGCTCACGCTCGTCCTCGGAGGGTATGACGTAACGCTTGATAGAGACGGTGGAAGAACGGGGCTCGTCCCACTCCCGCTCACGGTCTCGTTCTTTGTAGATGTACGTCGACATAAAGGAGGTGATGGAACAATTTTCAAAGCTGGTAGGTAGAGTTTTACTTGGATGAAATAACGATGGAAAGGTCAATCAGAAAAGGAAGAAGGGGCAAGGTTTAGAAGGGAGAGGAAGATGGAAGATTTGAAAGATGGGAAGCGAGGCTGCAGGGAAGTGGGGTATTAGCAAGGCTGACGAAATGGCCGGGCGGGCAACACTGACTGACGCAGGAGGTTGATTGTCAGGTGTAGATTATCGGGAATCCCAAGGTGAAACAAGAGACGCCCGACGATAGGACAGTAAAGCAGACGAAGCGCGCGGATGGCCAAAGAATCGAGCCGTGGCTGAGCGACGAGCAGTAACAGTAATGGGGACTGGATTGGTTGGTGTGATGAGGAGGGGTAAATGGACGGGACAGCAAGTGGCACTTGGTCAGTGTCTAGACGCGGATCCTAAGCAGCAGTCTAGCAGTCTAATTCCTCCAGGAACTGAGTGGAGATGGCTTCAATTTGAAATCAGAGAGATCTTCCAATTTCTAATCTCTCCGGACTAGATTCAAAGACAAAAGCAATGACGAGAATGGAGCAGAAGATAATGAAGATGAAGATGGAGAGGGAATGGAATGGAAATGGATTGGATTGAATTGAATTGACCCAAACAAGAAAGTGATCGACCACGTGAAGGCAAGACCTCGTGATGGCCCAATTGGGAAGCATCCCTGATACGGGCTGTAGAACCTGGGCTTCTTGTTCTCTCTCACTCTCACTCACTCTCACTCTTCCGGAGCAATCCGTCCCTACCAATCCGAATGATCCACCTTCTTACAATGTACACAGATTCCTTCTTGGCCTGCTTAGTGTGACAGTCAGTCATGAGGTCCTTTCCGAAACCCCAAACGCACAAAGAATGAATGAGGCTAACATTGCGCCCGATGCTAATCAACTAATTAGTCGCCATCGTCGTTTTATTAGTTAGTCTGTACTCCTCGGGCTCTTTCCATCCGGTTCCCATGGCCCGCTTAGCTTCATATCCCCTCGGAATTGAACAAGATACCATGTTGTTGACTTGCACTTGATCAGTCGTTCCTGATATGTCGGTTCCACGGATCCTGGTGGGTTGGGCTTGTCGCTAAACCATGGAAGCATGCCGCCTGTCATTCAGTGGACAAGAGAAGCATTTCTTTTCCACATCTTGGTTGGAGTGTTTTCTATGCAAGTGTCTAACCATGTGTAACTCGGATTTGCAGGACTTTTCGAGACTTCGAGAATGAGCGGAACTGGATTCCGAATAGCCGCGGCGGCGTTTTCATTTTTGACTTCGGAATCTGCCTGTTTTCCTTTGCCCGATGTTTACTTTTCCCCATGGCAAACTTTCTTTTGATTTGCCCCTAGTCCCCCTTCTGGCATGCTCCCCCATCAAGAATTGGCGTCATTCGTCCTGTCAGTTCGGATATCCACCAACTGTGCACCGCAAGTGCAACCTCTCGCAGTCAGTTTCCTTCACGGGGGAAAATCTATGACCAAGACTAAAAGTAGTCTGCTGGGTCTGCACCTTCCTCGTATCGTCTCATTTCCTATGGAGTATGATCTTTCACTAACGTTAGGCGAACCTCCGACCCGCGGGTCATTATTCGCCACGCGAACAGCTAGAGCCACCCACACTTTTTAGTGTTCTTTGCCCGAGTTCGCAGTTCGTATGCATCGGACTATTGGATGCTACGAAAATCCCGCCAGCACTGCTTACCTACATCATGCATGATCAAAGTACATACTTATTTTTTGGCTTGGCTGCTTGCGTGTCGCTAGTTCTACTTCGGCTACCAGATGTGTGACATAATGTTTTACTCATGCAGCGGTCAACCATGTTTGCCCGTTGAGATCTTGCTGTCGCTCTTAGATCCACAGGCTGCTCTGGCGCTTGGGGCGATGCAATTCCTTTAGACTCCTTCCGAAAAATGAGTGTCTCGACGATGATCCCTGCATCCAGTTGACTTTAGTTAGCTTGTGTGCCCGGAGGCTTTTTTTTTTTTTTTTTTTCTGGAAAACCGACTAAAAGCCCCCATTCGTAAGCGGTCTTCTTGCGCTTTGACCCCCAGCTTCTGATGCTGGGTCCATCCAGCCCACATGGTTTTGTTACACGGCGTTATCTCATAATATTGCTCTTGGATTCGCCCGCGTGCCTCTTCCGGTTCGATCGGTTTAAACAAGCTAAGGAATAGCCCCTGGAGATCAAGGCAAACTTTTTGTTTACAAATGGTGCCTATCGCCGATGCGCACAGACGGATCGTCCGAGGCCATGAGATGCGTAGTCGAAGCGTGAGCCAAATCGCCACACACGTTGCTTTCCGACACTGTACCCCAAAGCAGGAGCAAGCGGAGCAAAATAATCTTCACGGTACGGTGTGCGTGGGAAGTCATACGCCCTCTTGCGGTTCTCCGCGTGGCGGTGACGTCTTCAGATCCCATTAGCCTCAGCCGCTATATTCCACGCGAGTTTGGACGGGCCATGGAGCAGCAATTGGCAGAGACCAATAGGTTCAGCCTTCAGCCTAGGATCCACTCAAACCACAGACCCGAGTACCGGGGAACGTCATTGCGATCCTCGATCCATCTCAGCCCCTTGCGACTGGTCTCCTCGTCGGGCCCAGAATGACAGGGATCTCGTAAAATCCACTCATGCGGTGACTAGCTCACATCCGGTATGTTTCTGGAAGAGTTCCATGCATCAGAATTTGCCCCTAGTGCCTTCAATTGATGCACTCTCTGGCCAAGGAGACGGGAGATGCAAATTAAATGCATGATGCACTCTGACTAAATCGGAAAGAGATCTCATATGCTGCGACGCGGCTATTCTGGCTCGAGCAGTCCTCTGCAGTCGCTAGATCCCTTTTCGGCTATCTGGAATGACGCCGGTGCATGCTTGCAGGAAATAAATGAAATAGAGACAGAGAAAAAGAAAAACATGCGCCAAGGGGCCCATACTGGGGTTAAAGACTCCGGCATAGTGCCTGCCTCTCAATCCGCCCCCAATGCATTCTTATTCTTTGCAGATCTGTGATAGGAATTGTTCGGTTTAAAAGAGCGCCAGGCACCCTTGACGGCTCCCCTGTCTGTGACTCCTTGATTATTCCAGACATCTTAAAGCCTTCTCAAGCCACTTTCACTGGGCTCATTTCCTGCGGTTGGCTTTACAGCTACCCTCCGTTGCCTGTTTACCGCTTCCGCCAACCTTATCCAACGTTGTGGAGATCAATTGAGCCTCCAAAACCCAAATTTGCTTAGTTCTCCTCCGCCCTGTACTCCTGACCAGCATGGCCACCTCGAATCGCTCAAGCAGCAAGAGGTTGCCCATAAGTTGCCAAGCATGTCGCTCGAGAAAGATACGCTGCTCCCGTGACGGACGTCCGTGCCAGACCTGTGTTCGTCGAGGATTGGGCGCTGAGGACTGCATATACCTGGGTCAGCCCAGGCTGTCCTCTGAGCATGCCTTGACGGCAGAGTCTGCGGGGCAAACACATCTGCTCGCACGGATCCGCGACTTGGAGGAGCTACTTCATAGACAGGCACAGTCTCAGTCAAGTGGCTCCGTGTCCCCGCAAAACTCTCCTAGTGCTACAGGCAGCTTCCTTGAGTCCGATAGAGGTGTCGAGCTGAAGCCCAGCAGTTTGAGAAGCCCCTTGTTAAATAATGTGGGCACTCTTCAGACCTTTGCATCTGGATACGTTCGTGATCTACCATTCGCAACTCACGCCAGCCAACTTCAACTGAGTCCTACAGGTACAGGCTCTTCACTTCCCAGTGTAGACACTGAAATACCAGATGAGAGCGACGACCTTCAAATTCCGTTGACGAAATGCTCTGTTTCCAGAGATGAGCTGGTAGCTATTCTTCCGCCACGTCGGTATTGCGATGCGTTGAAGAATGTCTACTTTCAAGTATTCTCGCCTGTATGTTTTGAACTCCAATGATTTTCTTGAGCTATTCCTTCGCCAAGTGTCTTTTCATAAGTACCTGTGCTAACTCGGGACCTAGATGTTTCATATCCTGCATGACCTGACATTTGAGGCCGAATACCAACAATTTTGTCACGATTCCAGCAGCGTCACAACAGCGTGGATTGCGCTACTTTTTGCCATTCTGGGAATTGCCGTCACAGCGCTCGAGGATGATGAGCCGTTGCTTTCCGATTTAGGTCGTGAGAAGACTGTCACCCGTAATATCAAAGTCCTATCATCGCGGTATCGATCCGCCTCGCTGCGCTGTCTGGCCGCAGATGATGTCCTGTCTCGTCACTCCATCAATTCTCTCCAATCCCTTATTCTGATAAATTACGCGCGTATTCACCGGGGGCTTCCTACCTGGACTCTTTTAGGCTTCACACATCATGTCGCCATATCCATGGGCTGTCATGTTGACCCAGATCGATTCCCGCTCGGGCCTATTGAGCGTGAAGAGCGCAGACGAGCTTGGGCCGGAGTAACTATGCTTTATACTATTCAAAATACAGTTTTTGGCCATCTTGGTCATCATATACCCTCTCAAGGTGTGAAGCCTCCCTTGGAGATCAACGACGTGGACCTACTCACGGGGTCTTTATCTGAGCAATCGTCGCGTCCAACGCAAATGACGTATCTCCTGCTTGAATTTCGATTGGACAAGGTCTTGTCTATGATTTGTCAAACACTTTTCAGCTTCTGCCCCAAGTTCAGCCTCTCTCAACTAGAAGCGCAGGTTTTGGCTGTTCACGAGATATGCGACAGACGGTATCAGATCAACCCGAACCTTGAACCTCTGCCAGTACACCATGTCGCCAATCTCAATATTCTTTACAGCTATATTCACCAGCTACTGTTGCTTCTACTTCGACCAGGTCTCTGCTGCTACCTCCAAGGTGAATTTACACCAGAAACGTACGCCGCTAGAACGAAATGTGTAGCCTCTGCAAAGGCATCTCTCTCGATCTATCACTCGCTCCATGAGTCGCCTCAGTTCGCCTCATATAAGTGGTACAACTGTGGGCTTGGAAGCTTTCACGCTTTTCACGCAGCTGTAGTCTTGTCAGTGACATTGATGTACCCTGAGAGTCAGTTTGAGTTTGTCGAGATAAAAGACATGCTCTGGAAGTCACTGGATGTGTTTGCTGCTTTATCAAATCGCAGCAATTTCTGCAGCAAAGCAGTTCCCGTTCTTCGTCGGCTCATGTGAGTATTATCCCATTTCTAGGGATGCTAGCTTCCTTACAATAGTTCACCCCCTCCCGGAAAAATCATAGCTAATGGGGCACAAATTTCTAGTGACATGGCCTGCACTAGAGGCCAACAAGCAGTCTTGACTGTGGACCCAAACACGGGCCTCATAAGCTCCCCGAGCGACCTTACGCAGGACCTATCGCCAATAGCTCCAGAGTATATCATGGAGCCGCTCTTTGCCCAGCTCCAACCTCAGAGTTGGGTCAGTCCCACATCTGTTTACTGGGACGGTTGGAAATTCCTTTTTGAACGAGGGTAGTAGACACCAGAGAAGAGACAGACATACATTACATAAAACCTTGAAGCGACACGACATATCACATGTTGCTGTTTCTCTGCGTTGCCTGTTTCGCTCAAGGATCCATGCGATACAGCAACGGAACTCAGGCTGCCTGAGGCGCCTTGCGGGTCCATGCAACCACATATAACGTGAGGCACGGACGTTCCTACGCTCTAAACACGCTTTGGAAAACATGCCACCATGTGGCTGTGTACGGGGCCGTCTCTCAGCTGCGAATCAAACCACAAGCGCGCCGCCTCTCATTAGACAACGAGCACAATGCGACATGCACACGCCATGTCTCTGGACGGTTTATGACACAAATCTCCGGCATACAGCCTATCGGCCCTGATATCAGAGGGGTATAGGCAGAGCTGCTTTCAGATTTCCCTAATGATAACCGACGCAAAATGTATAACGAGCTCTGAATGATCTAACCTGATATAATTTCACATTATAATAGATGATAAACTTCTTCAACTTACCATAACTGTACCATCATACGAAGAGCAGTAACAATAACGTTGTATACCCCACCTGGTCCCAGTAGTAGTATTTCCTGCATATCTAACAGCCAAGCCAGTCCCCACCCTCCTACTAACTATATGGGAAATCAATCACGCCCTCTCATCATACACCACCTCAACACGTTGAGAATCGCACTTCGCATCTGGATCCTCATCCTCACCATCATCTTGCTTATCAGACGTGATGACCTTATCTCCAAAGGATGCAGCGATTTCTTCAAGTGTGCGCTGCTTCGTTTCACTAGTAACCGGAGGATGTCAGATTAGTTTATCGTCAAATAAGCAAGCGGCAAACAGTCGAGCCAGTTCTTTAGAATGGAGGAAAATATCCTACTTACGGAAAGTAAAAATAAGCCACAGTGAAGAAGAAGACAGTGCATGCTACAAAAACGTAATAGTAGTTTTCGCCGATGTTGGCAAATGCACTGGGGCCGGCTTCGGTGACTGCGAATTGATAATCAGTCAGTATTGATACTTTGGTGTTAATGGTGTGTGGGTGATGAGGGTTGGAAGGAGTTGGATGTATGGGACGGGTATCAACTAACTGGCTACGTTGACGATAAAGTGTGATGCTGCTGCTAGACCCATTACTTTGCTTCGGAGGGCTATGGGAAGGACTTCGGCGCCGTAGAGCCAGGTTGTGCTGTTGAGCATGCCGTCTGTTTTCCGAGGTATCATATGTTAGTTCCATTTATATATGCTTAGTTAGGGAAGTGGTTGGTTGATTGATGACGTACAGTATGCTACTACGAAGAGATAGATCCCCAGAATGGCAAAGCCTTTTCCGACTCGGTTGTCGGTGTTTTGGAACTCGCGTTGCATGACGGCTGCGTAGATCTCAACGATGATGATTCCGCCCAAGCCGGATAGGAGCATTCTGTACTTTATTAGATAAGATATATGGCTAGTTTTCTTAGAAGGTGACGTACTTTCGACGACCCCATTGGTCGGTTAGGTATTTGGTCGTAATGCAGTTGAAGATGAATGCCACTGTGCCGTATACGGCAGCTAGTGCAAGAATAGTATGCGAGTCTATTCCGAGAGATTTGTATAGAGTTGCTATTCATTGTGAGTATGAATGAAGGCATAAGAATGAGGGGGCAAAGGGGGATTGAAAGGCGATACTGACTTTGATAGTACTAGATTTGGTCAGTATTCATGTTTTCTTTTGTAGTCAATGTAAGCATCACTTACTTGAATCACATTCACACCAGTAAGACTGGTCATGGTCTGTACAGCAATCGATCTATAAGCGCATCAGAGTTGATACACTTTGATCAGAGAAATGTGAGCAACTCACACTAATGCACGGCGTCTGAACAGTCTGAATATATCCTTATAAGAAGTTATTTCTCGCTCCTTTTCATATTCAATCTGCGCCTCCATCGCAGCGAACTCCTGTTGGAGTTCATCAGCGGCCAGATCTCGACGGATCCTCTTGTACTGGACCCGCGCCTGTTCAACATTTCCTTTACGGATCAGATGGCGCGGTGAGTCGGGCATAAAGGTGATCAGTCCAAAGAACATGATGACCCCCCAAGGTATTTGTATTCCCAGAGGCAGTCTCCATTGTACTGGCCCATACGGCGCGTAGCTGCAAGCATATCCGATCCAGTTGGAAGCCATCGTTCCAAAGGAGATGCCGCAACCCGAAATGCCACCGATCAGGCCGCGATAGCGAGGGTCTGAGATTTCGCTCAGATATATGGGAACCGTAGCGACGAGACCACTGAGCAGGGATGGTTTAATTAGAGTCACATTTTCCCACAATTCAGTGAAGAATACTCACCCAACTGCATAGCCAGCTAGCGCACGTCCAGCAAGGAACATTCCAATATTGACTGAAGCTGTCTGAATGACTGTGCCAATTGTGACGACTACACACAGTAGCTCCATAAATCTAAGGCGTCCAAGTTTATCTCCGACAGCAGTCTGAGTGAGCGCGCCGACTGCTTCGCCGGCAATGTAAACTGAGACGACCTAGGTTATCTCAGCTTGATATTCACTTTAATGCGACAAATCTCAGACGTACAGCACCGGTGAGGCCATTGGAGGGGTGGTTCATGTAGTTTATCCAGCTTTGATGAGCGATTGCTAACAAAGTCAGTCATAACCGTGGAGTGTCCGGTTTAATATTCTTACTTGTCGTAGCGATTCCCGTGTCGAATCCCTAGGTTAAGTCACTCAGAAGTGGCTCACGACGCATAAAGCTATCATCTAGGTAAATATGGTAACTCACGAAAAGAAAGGTTCCGATTGCAGCAAACAGTGCAACGCCGATCGTGAACCAGACAGCCATCTTGACAATCGCAGGGCACAGGTGGAAGAAGGACGTTTAGAGATCACATATTGATAGCCTCTCTGCAAGGGAAAGCGCCGTCTTAACATAACGCCGTCCTACGTCAAACTGGCAGTGCCAATAACCATTCAGCCGAGGGTGCGTCACGATAGCAGCCACTCGGAGTATGACCGACCGAAGTGCGCATGAGGTACAAAAACCTGGGAGAGCAGACCACATAATGGAGTTACGAAGACCGTATTATGTGGGGCAAAGTGTTCAAGCACTGGGGTTTTCCCCGCATTCCAGGAAGTATGCGTCTGGGGATAGTACTTAGTAGATGGACTAGGTCCGAGGGAGGCGTGGGGGTAACCTCACAAGGCAGGCCTCATAGCATCATTGACTCGCCTCTTCTATCGGCCGAACAAGATTTAAGGTAAGCTTGATCCAGACGGCATAATGTTTCAGCGCGTATAGAGCAATGATTGGTTCAAAGATCACACAAAGAAGTCTTGAGCGATGAAGAAGAGTTCCAAAGAAAGTGCAAACTAATATGATTACCGGAGGGGCAATGGATGATCTTTTCCAAAATTCCGATATGTCCAGAAAGTCTGTCGTCTTGTGACTTCCCGCAATTGCATGATTACTCCCCGTCTCTGCAGCCCAGTGTACCTGGAAACAATACAATGATAGTAGAGCACTCATATACAAGGATTTAGAGGTTATCACACTAGGTTAAATTTCGCCTAATCTCCGAGGGCAATAACTAATACTCCGGTACTTTAATGCAGTCATCAGGCCACTTTTTGAAGCCTACGTACATCTCTAGCACAAGTACCAGTAAGTGCGCTCTAATATATATCTCAAACTGTTCTAGTAGTAAGTAGTACTAGTATGACTGCTAGTGAAGACATAGCCAGCTTGACACCCACAGTATGGTGAGCTGGGACATACAGTGTGTTCCAGCTTCCACTCTTTAGAGACTTGACCATCATAAATCCAATGCAACGATTAGAGTAAGGGGACACTCATGGACATCTCGCAAGTATGCTCCGCAAACCCATGGGCGGCCTGGACAAACGGGCACCAATACACTAACCCAAAATGGAAGATCTCGCTTCCCTCGAATGATTTCTCGCTTAGATGACACTAGTCGCACTAGCGCCATTTCCCCCAACCGGCCAGGTATAAAAGCTCGCCGCACCCGCCCTCTCTTTAGACTATTTTTCTTTTCTTCTCCAGCTCTCTTTGCCTTTTGGCTTAGATCAAGTGTAGTATCTGTTCTTTTCAGTTTAATCTCTGAAAGTGTTCTAAGGAACACAACATTGATTAATCTTATTTTTGCACCCCGTGGCGGGGCCTCTGTGCTTGCGCATGCCTTGCTACACAGTGTCATCGGGCTTACACTACCCCCGATCGACGCGAACACCTTTTTCATCAATTTGGTCGGCTTGTCCGACTGATTGGAGAAGAAGTACTATCATAGTGTAGAAATGTAGCTAGTAGGGGTCCAATTCGCTGGCAGGGTTCTTTTGTGGCAACCAATGATCATCCCGAATAGCAATCAAGCAATGCTCCGACCATGGAATTCGAAGAATATAATAATGTGTATTGGAGTGGCTGGGTGTTGGATAAATTTGGAGATTGACAGTAGGGAGTACTTGGTAGATAGGAGAAAGAGAGAGGTGGTTTGCTGCTGGCAGAGGGATTAGCTATGTATTATGCCATATAGAAAACTATCTTCACTATTTATTCGGCAGAAAAGCTTTCCATCGATTAGGATATATTTACCAGAAACCAACTACACAGTAGTTCGAGCGCTTCGAATGAACCACCACGAGATTCCCCTTTACAGTCGCATCATCGCACCCCGAAAACCATTGAGGAGCCGACATTTCACCGCTCTTCAGACCGCCTAGAGCGGCAGAACCTAGCGAACCTCGTTCAAAAAACCTCGGATTTAAGCGGATTTTAGAAAGTACAAGTCGCAGAAAAGTCAGTTGCGAAACTGTTCGTTTTTTCTTGGCGGCAGAAAACGGGTCACTGACCGCCGCGCCCGCTAATTGCAGAACCGCCTTGCCGTAGTTATGAAGTAGCACTAATATAACTGGCTAAATTTTGTCCTTACTCGTATAGTAGTATGATCCTGGGCTCGACATTTCAGGGATAGTTTTCTTATTTCCATGAAGTTGAAACAAGCCCGAAGGATTATTCTTCATAGATTGATCGGATGTAAAATTCAGCCAGGAGGACATCCAATGTGTCGCATGTCAGACACATTTTTGAGTTCATATTTCTGTATGCATTAGTGACTTGATCAGATACATAGAGATATCAATCATTGATGCTGAAATCACGGCAATTCTGTCTTGCATTGCAATCATATAGAGTTCCCGATAAGATGAATGATTGGGGCGATATCGAATTTGTCGCTGTAGATCTCCTACATGTGAACATAGTTCCCATACGAAGATTGGAAATCCTCAAAACGGCCGAGACGATTCGAAGTATACGGCTAGTGCATTCTACAGTTTTGGTCATCTACCCAGACGTACTAAGTTCCCGGAGTAGTTTAGCGCATCTCATCAGACATTTGGGGAGGGGAAATGAAGCGTAGTACTTGGTAACGCTGTTGGTTAGACAGGACCCTTGATGATCTCAAGATAAGGCGCATCCGGTTTGGTTGGCACATGGTGCGAGTATTCTACGTCACGTTGAAACCAAGTTCTCGTTGCTTACGCTCCCTACAACGATGCAGCACACGATAGTTCGTCAAGAGACTCATCAACTAGGAGTCATATATTCTTTCATTTTTTCTTGAATATGAGATCCTATTCCATCTTCCATTGCCGATGTCATAGCCGCCGCCGCAGCATTGCGGTCTGTGCAATGCATGAAACCCAGAGCCGAACAAGAAAACCGCAAATTTAGAAGACAAGAGCAGCACCCTTGGTCTTCTTGTCACCACTGTTGAAAAAGAAGAGAGATGGTTAGCATCACCCATAGATCGTATGCCGAGCGTATGAACGTACCCAAGCTCGAAGTGCTTGCAGCGCTTCAGAGAAAGCTGCTTCTTGGTCTTGCAAGCAGTGCACTCAAGACGAAGGACAATCTTCTTGGTGGTCTTGGCCTTCTTGTGGAAGACGGGCTTGGTCTGACCACCATAACCGCTCTGCTTCCGGTCGTAACGACGCTTACCCTGGGCGAACAGGGAGGCCTGTAGAGATCATGATTGCATCAGCATAGGTCGCGCGGTGGGCTCGGTTGCTTGGGCAGTGTTCACCTTTCCAGCCTTGTACTGGGTGACCTTGTGCTGGGTGTGCTTGTGGCACTCCTTGGACTTGCAGTACGTCCGGCGGGTTTTCGGAACGTTGACCTGAATGCGAGAAGAGTTTGATCAGCGCCTGCTGTGGTAGGATGGTTATCACACAACGTCCGCAGCCTGTTCCTGAGTTCCTCGTCGTCGGAGATGGTGGTTCACGGTGGGAATGATATTGTTCCGAGAAAGTGAGGAAAAGCAGATGATGGTATAGCAAGGGTGTCGTGGCTCAGAACAATTCGATTTTGATGGTTTCGGTCGCACTCAACATCTTTCACTTCAATCCCACAATTGATCGCGGGGCAAACCCCGGTCGAGAATTCCATCATCTTTGACCATTTTTGTATTGATATTGACGGTTCAGGATTTTCGTTTGCAGCTTCGATCGTTGCGCTTCGTATAGTGGCGGCTTTCAACTCGGTTCGCCGTAGGAAAAGAGTGCCGTATGTCGTCCCATCTCGCAATATGCCGATTGACCGAAAACACTTCTCCGACGCCCAGGAACACGGAAACGAGACTGATAGACGATCAGAACAATATTCTTACCATTTTGACTGACTTGGCCGGATCGCGAACTTGGTGGTCGTTGATAGTCTCTTGTCGGGAGGATCGAGTTGGGCTGGCCGTGTGTTGTGGGATTTCGTTCGCTTAGGGTGCGGCCTAACCGCGTTTGTGTGCCACCCGCCAAGACCGCCTGTGGTCAGTGGCTGCCTCAGGCAAAGACCCATATCATCCCCATAGTTATCTATCGAATCGTATTCATTCGCCCACCGTCTAGATTATTCATGCTGAATCAATGCTACTGGGAGACCCTTTACTAGAAGCCTTTGCCAACAACAACGGCTTCTCCTCCACCGTAGAAAGACGTCCCTTTACAAAATTCCAACCCCTTTTCCTGCCCGACAAGCCATTCCCCTTTCCCAGAGATGGCTCCGTCTTCTTGAAACCAGTATTTCGTCCGGAGCATCTCATTGATCTTCCCCACCCTCTCTACCAGTGCGGCCACCCGCGCATGGTCCACCGCTTCGTCTTCCACTTTATTGGGGTTGTCTATCAAGAAGCCGTCCCGAGTGATGAACCGTGCAATCGTAATATGTGCCGAGAGGGCAATATACCTCGGCTTCATCTGTAACCCCGTCGCTGTGACGATACTCGAAACATCACGTCGCAGATGGTGATAAGTGTATCCATCACCGTCCACATTGTGGGCAGTTGTAGTCTCTTCTCCAGCAGCAGGAACAAAGCTCAGCGCCATGGCAGTTGCATCGTAGCTGATCATAGGTTTAACCAACCGTGTCCGATGATGAAATAGAAAATCCACCAGCTTCGGCACGACGCCACTACCCTGGAGATGAGAAACCAATCCTTCAACCTCCGGCTCAGGTCGGCAGCTGGCGATCTCTAACGTAGTCATATGCAATTGCTCTGGAGGTGTGAACCATATGCCTAGTAAAACAGGTGAAATGGAATCGATCAGTTGAACCAGGCAATACAGCACACGGAATGGAGGAAGTGCCCCGCAAAGGCAAGATATAACTAACTTGGGGCAATTTCTCGAATGGCCTGCTGGACTTCAGCGACGAGGTCCCGGATATGTTGCGGGGGTCGAGCGTATAGTGTAAGGTTATGCCTAGAATCGACAAAGGGCAGTGTTTCGCCGTTGGCTCCTGCCTGTAGCTTTCTCAGGATATCGTCAATCTGCCAACCTGTGAAGTCGGAGCTGAGGAGCCTCTCTTTGTATTGTTCATTTCGGCTGGACCGGTGAGCTTCATATCGAGCTTGAATTTGTTTCTGTGATTGGTACTCGTCAGGAGTGTTTTTTTGGGAGCGGTTGGGGCCTTGGGAGTTATACTGGGTCATCTTGACATTCTAAGAGGAGAATGTCGAAAGGGTTAACTTCTTTGGTACTGTTCTCCATCTTACACGATGTGACACCTGTTCGTAGTGTGCTGTGAGAGCAATTCAGTAGAAAATGGTGTTCATTTGAGGGGTAACTGATTGAGATACAGATCGCCAAGGACATGTGCTATATATATCCCATTCCGATTAATGGTACATTCAGTGAGACCACAACGACCAAAGCAGCCAAACCGCGTAGAGGACAGCCAGCGCAAAACATCTAACGAATCGCAATTATTCCTCACAATCAAACAAAGTCATTTTACTATATCATCACCATATAACCAAAACAACTGCTCCCATTTTACCCGGGGCGATGTAGTTCCCTAATTACTATGTCGCGGCTTACTCCGTTATTTTGATGCCCCACCAAAAACCCCGCCGAAGCTTTCCGTCACCAGCTGAGCCCAGTCAACAACCACCTCCATCATCGTCGTTCTCTTCACTACTATATTAGAGCGTCTTGTTCCTTGGAATTCTCGTCCTTATTATTTCCTCTCCTATAGCAACTTACTCTACGAATACCTTACAGTCGCTATCTATCTTACCTCAAAATGTTGATCAAGTGAGTTGTTGTCCGCCCATGACGCACGCAGATACCCTCTGTCGCGATAGCAAAGCTAATCGGCGTCAACCTCCAGAGTCCGTACCCTTACTGGCAAGGAGATCGAGTTGGACATCGAGCCGGATTACAAGGTACATACACACATCTACACATCCACAGACATATATATGTCTTTGCAATCTCGCCCCATCCGCGTGTGGTGATTGTTAGCTGGTCTTACTAGCCGGCTGCAACAACTCCGCTCGCACACGACCAGCCACCCACCCCACGGACCTATGATACTTTCTTCCGCGCAGTCGCTAACAAGTACATATGCAGGTGTCCCGGATAAAGGAGCGTGTTGAAGAGAAAGAGGGTATTCCTCCTGTTCAGCAGCGATTGATTTTCGGTGGAAAGCAGATGTACGCATACACCCGTTTCCCTATTCCTACACTTGGGGATGTATAATCGCTATGCTTTGGGCCAAATACTGATAAAGGGACTTTCGTGAATATAGGGCCGACGACAAGACTGCATCGGAATATAACCTGGAAGGTGGTGCCACGCTACACCTTGTTCTTGCTCTGCGTGGTGGATGCTTGTGAATGTGTGTGGTATGACAGAAGGGGGAATAAAGAGGAAGATATCTGTATGTTGCTTTCAAGGCCGGTATTCTGAACGCTATGTAGCGTTGGTTTTTGTTTCGAGGCTATGGGCATGCATGTAGGTTTTGATCCTGGGGCGGAGGGTTTTAATGAGCTACAAACCAACAATGCAGTAATGACAGTTTTCTACATATTTTCACTGAAGATGGAATCCCTCGTGCAGTCGCGGAATGGGAATTGTCATGTGTGACTGGTTTCTCATATAAAATAAGACCGACCGTGCAGCCTGTGTATGTAATAAGAGGAGAGTATAAGCACAATGGATATAGAGAAAAGGGATGATATGCTCGAGAACCAAAGATTGCACTTCATTGACTTCGCCAAACAGATTGCTTCGCACCAGTTTCCCGATATAGGTTGTGAGATCCCTGGTGGGATGCAAAATGCCTATTGTGGCTCCCGACCTGAGCCTGCGATATCCAGGTATATGAGATCGAAAGAACGCCTTCTGTGGTATCATTTGCAAAACGCCATCAACTGAAACGATGATCCAGACTCACGCCAGAACTAAACGCCATCCCTATATATTATGAGCGGGTTTGTGTATCTAATAATGCAGGTTGACTTCTTGGGATCAGCTTATGTCCAATCAGTTCAGTTTCTTCTTCTTTGGTTGGATAAAGAGGTTCGGGGCAGGACGTTTGCGGACAACTGCCGGACGGGGTGGTTGTGGCGGAGACGCTGGCATGTCCTCTACGGCAGACCCCCGATGAGAGCCAGTCGCACTGTTACTGAGCGGATGGGATGTCTGTTTCTTGGCCGCTACCCCTGATAGAGATCCGGATGGACCTCTTGTTGGCAGCGATGTCTGTGCATTTCTCCCTGCCATAGGCTTACTGGCTGCAGCAGGGCTATGCGATTGGGTTATTGCTCGTAAACGAGCCTCTCTTTCCCGCAAGCTGGGACCAACTTCCAGACTATTCTGGCTTGTGGAGGGAGCACTCATCTGGGGCCGTAACCGACCGGGCGCTCTCAGAGCTGGAGCCTCCTTTCGTCGAGCGACAGGGGGCTCAGCAGGACGTATATGGTCCTCGATCAGAGACCGCGGAGCCTGTCTGACCTGGGAAGCTCTGTTATTAAGGTGCTTTGTTGGCACAGTAAGAACATTATTCCTCTTTGTTGCTGTAAATATGCTGTTCTTTTTCTTTGTTTCTCTTGGCCTACCAAAAGCCCAGGGGGTCATGGAAGATGACGACGTCGGCGAGCCGCCCAGTCTCCGATCGTACGAAGCATATCGTTGCCTCGCGGTCGGCCTCTCTCGGGGGAGACCGATGATTCGACGATCGGTAACGAATTTGGCACTTTTTTCCTGGCGCTCCGAGCTGATGCCATCTAAAGCCATCTTCAGCTTTTCAGCATCCTCTTCCACTGCCCGTTGGACTTGTTCCCGGAGGTCACAATATACGTCATACCAACAATCGGGTTTCTCAGGCAGATCGTATTCGTCCCATCGCGGGATATCTCTTTTGATGAACTCCAGCCAGAGTTCCTCGTCATCTCGCATCAAATGTGGGGACTGTAATTCCAGAGTTCTCTGTGTTGTGGGGTGAGTTTGACTGTTAGCCAAAGGGTTACTGACGAAGGACGGGGGGGTTCCGCTGCAGACTCACCAGTTTCTCAGGACTCTCCACTTTCAGTAGAAATGGACGAGCGAGTACATAGGGAATGTTGCCAATATCATTTAATTCTGCACGAGCACTTAGTATCAGTTTACCGATGGGCTCTTGTCAAGGTGGGATTGGGCTCTGCATACGTTTCACGTTCCTAATCGCAGTCGCCGTGCAGAGCTGCAGAAGTGATGGTGGCGGCATGGTGGTTTATCGGGATGGGCACCAAAAAATAACCAAAAAAGTGGCATGGAAGGTGTATCGGATATAAGGAAGAAGTGAGAGGCATCTGAAAAAGGCATGTGAGATGGTCACCGACGATCAGGATGGGATGAACGTAAGGCCATTGAGCCTTTGTACGTGGTAAATGCGCCTGCGTCAGGCTCAAGGCGGACAGCTGTCTCGTCATGATCTCATTGGTTCATTGGGACCAGGTCAGGCGGAAGCTCGGATTCTGCCGAGTGTTTGTGTCTCACCGCCCGAGATGATGATAGATGTCGTTCTCATTACCGACGATGAAGATTGATTTCTACAATCATGTTATCGGGCTCAAAGAATATTGGCTGTGCTGGATGCCATTACTGCTACATCTGGATGAGGCTGTTATTGACCCCTGTATATTCAGTCCCTATCTTACATCCACGGTACTCGGCTATCTTTCTGAGGAATAGCCCGTCATTATTTGCTCGCAATGATCTACAACTCAGGCTGAGCAGTTTTGTTATTGTGGCATTATCCGTCTGCAGAACAGGGACTCACCCCGGAATACATCTCCGCAGCCTTGTCATTTACCTAACTGAAAAGTGAGGCGGGCTTGGCCAGTAATGCGCCCCATCGGGCGCTGCGGCAAGTGCATCGCCTCGCTGCCAAGGCTCTGTATAGCTCTTTATGCCTCATACTATAATGATGACCGGAGACTGATCACCACTCCGATGATATAAAGATTATCGTTGTGGGTGGAAGTTGCCCTTAGTAAACTCGTACACAGAGTTCATGATGAAAGTCATACGGGCGATGGATGACTGCGCCCTGGTGTCATCGGTTCCTGGAAGCTTTGAAAAGATGTTGTATTGATAGTGTAATATAGAGACTGAGAGTATATAAAGACGTACTTGTGCCATAAGTCGGCTCTCTGTCATATCTCAAGGATTAACACACTACAACATCTTATCAATTTATTCGAGCAAGAAAAATCGACAGTACCATTCGGAGCAATCTTTTATTGATCTATAATATCACCAAGCCTCCACAAATCGCAGCCATGTGGTAAGCCTCAAAGTCACCGCAAGCCTAAGCCTGTCTCTTATAAACGCATTGCTATAGGTACGCGATTTCTCGACCAAGCGAGTATCTCGTGCTCACTGGAGCCGGGATTGACGACATCAAAGTATGCAAGAAGGCATTTGTGTGGCCACTTCAACGGGTATGATTCGCTCAAGAGGTGTCAAGAGTATAGCTGACATGTTATTAAATAGTGTTCGAGGATATCTGTAGCACCGTATGATTTCTCGCTTAGCCTTCAGGCTATGACAATCGAGAAGCTGCAGTTTTCTCTGCCAGCAGTGTTTACCATCGGCCCTGATAACGAGCAAGGCGCACTCAGAAAATATGCGCTGCTTCTTTCGGGCTGCACAGACGAGGCTGATCCTACCCAGAAGAAGGATCTGAACAGCAAAGCAAAGCAGAACCATGTACAGGATATTGTTCGAGGAATCATCGAAGGTGAAACACGAGTGATCGTTTCTAGCATGTCCATGGAGGAGATCTTCAAGGAGAGACAGATATTTAAGACGAAAGGTGAGTGGCGCTTTGCTGACTGGGTGAGTCACTGTATTTACTGACATCCGAGGAAGTGATCGAGAACGTTCAAAATGAACTCCAGCAGTTTGGCCTGAGAATGTAAGTTTAAGCCCGTTGAGGAAGTATCGTCATTAATAATAAAGCATAGTTATAATGCCAACGTAAAGGAGCTTCAAGATACCCCTGGAAGTGAATATTTTGCTTTCCTGAGCCGAAAGGCTCATGAGGGAGCCCTCAACCAAGCCAAGATTGATGTTGCCGAGGCACGAATGAAAGGAGAAATTGGAGAGGCAGAGAAAAAGGGCAGAACCAAGCAGGAGATCTCCAAGATTGACGCCGACACTGCTGTTCTAGAAACAAAGCGCAAGGCGGAGAAGGCCAAGGCAGACTCAGAGCTTACGAACCGCAAAACAGAACTGGATGCTGACGTCCAACTCAACAAGATCGCAGCTCAGCGTCAGACGGAAATGAGAGACGCTGAGTTGCAGAAACAAGTGCAAAGCAAGCGCGCAGAGACGGAGTTGGAGCGTCTCAGAGCCGAGCAGGTCACAAAAAGCAAGGTTGAGCGTGAGTCTTCCCAGGAAGAGGCCGACGCTGCCTTTTATACGGAACAGAAGGCGGCGGATGCAGAATTGTATAAGAGCAAAATGGAAGCAGATGCAACCTGTAAGTTGTTGATGACCTTCAGCGATAGTCTAATGCTGACTTCCCCTTAGATTACCGCCAGAGCAAAGACGCAGATGCAGCTTTCTATACTCAAAAGCGAGAAGCCGAAGGAATCCTCGAGATGGCAAAGGCATATGGTGCGCTCG